AGAGAGAGAGAGAGAGAGAGAGAGAGAGAGAGAGAGAGTGTGTGTGTGTGTGTGTGATGGCTTGATGTGTGGGAGGGGCCTCACGTCAACACTGTGAGCAGGGTGAAGCGGCCCGACGTGTCGGTCTCGTACTGCAGCTCGACGACTTTCGATATTCGCAGGGCGTCGGTGCCGATGGCGCCGGCGCCGGCGCCGAGCAGCAGCGCGATCTTAACCTTCTTCCAGGTGCCCAGGTGCAGCGGCCAGGCGAGGAAGACGGGCAGGATGAGGATGACGGCGTCGGTGCAGAGGGCCAGGGCGATGTCGGTGATGAAGACCTTGCGCGAGTCGAAGCAGGAGTCGGGCTCGACGCCACCGTCCCAAAAGGCCGGGATGGGCACGCACAGTATCGTCTTGACGGCCTGCACGGGCGTGTAGAGCACCGTGATGAGCACGATGAAGAGGTAGATGCCCCGCGCGATCTGCTCCTTGACGGCAAAGACGCGCGCCATGAGCAGGAGGGGCGTGACCTTTGTGAGGTAGACGGCGGGGCAGTAGAGGACCGCGCTGGCGTACAGCCACTGGCACGGGAGGACGCAGTTAGCACGGGCTTTAGCAGCTAGTCTAGTTCTTTTCTTGTAGCCGCATGGTAGTTCAGGTTTCTTGGAGGAAGCGAGGCGCAGTGATGGCCTACCAGCTTGTAGTTCTTGAACGTCTCGGGTGCCAGATCCCAGGCGTGGTAGCCATCTCCATAGTGATGCACTAAAGTTGTCCACGGCACCTCCCAAATCAGCATGCTGTTCTGGCCAACTCGTCGTTAGAGACCTCGACAAGACTCTCGGGGCTCACTGGTGAAAATGCATGATATATAGGCCAGGGTCATAATCTGCAGCGGCGGCCACAGTCAGCAAGTGGTCGTCAAGAAGCCTCGGTGTGATCAAGCATCACCCGAGCGGTTTTGGCTCCCACAGGATAGGACTTACAAATGCTGTCAAGCAAAACCCTGGGATCATGGGCACGCGGCAGCTCTGGCGTTAGCCGGCCGACCATATTCCCGCCCGCATCCTCTAACGACCGCAGATGGTGCGAGAATGAAAAAAGGGGGGATACACATGTCATGGGTGGGAAAAAAAAAAAAGGAAACACATACAGTTTTCGGCCCGCACAGGCGGAGGAGACGGCCCACTTGGCATACGAGCGGGCCAGAAAGAAGCCGAGTACGAGGACGGCGGCCGCCATCTGGATGGCAAAGTTGAGGCCGCGCATACCGGCGTCGGGTGAACAGCCGGGGCCGAGCGGCTCGGCGTCGGGGGGCCAGGGAATGGCGCCGCCGACGCCGCCGACGCAGTCCTCCCGTCTCATGGTTCGGCGTGGTGGCGGGCCCGGCAGTGCGCGTCGCTGCGAGGCCTGACGCAGCGCCCGGCCGGCATCGCTACCCCCACGGGGCTGGGATCTCCTCTGCGCTCAGGAGGGCTAGGGTGGGTGGTTGGCTGTCAGGTTTTGCTTGGATCTTTTCTTCTTTTTTTCGCAACCGTTGACGGCCCCTCAGGCGTAGCAGCCTGCTGGCCGTGGAAGTAATGCAGGATTTTCCTTGACGCTGGAGGAGCAGAGGTTTCGCTCAGGCGAGTCGATGGAGAGCGGCCATGGCCGAGGAAGGCCGGGCAGCAGCGGTGTGTTCTGGGCCGGTGCAAAAGGAGCGCTTGCGTCGTTGTTGCTCGGTGTGGGTAGATCGCTGAGATTCGCGCTGGCCCGGCCTCGGAGCAGGGACCTTCCCTGGAGCGTGCGCGGATGGCCATGCTCCCGCGGGCGGCAGAGAAATGGGTTGGGTGTCTTGGAGGGATTCCCCTTGTTCCTTGTTCCAACCTTGTTCCCTTTAAGCTTTAAGCACGCGTCTCGACTGACAACAGCGCAATGTGGGCTGCATCGCACAGTGGATTCATTCGTCCTGCTGCCAATCTGTTCTGGCCATCTGCCTACCATCTTCCTCATGCAGCTACAGTATTGGTGGGTTGTAAGGTGGCACGTTAGGAGCCTCACTGCGGCGCCTGTCGCAACCCATATAGGCGTCATACGTTGTTTTGCCAGTGGCCCAGTGCAGATACAACAGCTAGACTCGATACAAGCTAAACCGCCGTATGCAATACGACACAAGGGTACCAAAGCCTATCATACGAGCGAACTCACGCTTTGAGATTGTCGGAACAGAAGCCGCGTGGTCAACATGGCGCGGCGGCCAGCAGACTCCTGCCAGCTGCACTTTGGATATGTACCGACCCGCGGGTCGGTTAGCCAAACCCACACTGGAAATGCAATGATGGCCGGCGCAGGGTAGGTGCCGGGCAGGCTGGACGGCAAAGTGCAGGGTTGGTACTTGGAGGGAGGGGCCGTCCAATCGCGAGCTTAGTTCCGAGACGGGAGAGCCGCTGTCAAAGGCAGGGGCGCCGAAAAGACGTGAACCAGCGGGGAGCCGGCAGCAATTCCCGCGCCGCGTCAAGGTAACGAATGACTGGTGCAAGCGCGAAACGTTGGTTGCGGAGCCTCGTCGCCTTGTCGAGTCTGTTTCTGTTTAGACATGCTGGCGTTGTTGGCCCAAACCCCAATGACCACAGGCGGCGCCCCTTGTCGAGTCCAGGCCCAAGACGTTTGTCTCGCAGGCTTCTTTGTTGGATGCCGGTTCTAACATGACGTTCGATCGGCGGGCTTGGCTTCCTTTGCTCTGGAAAATGCACAATATTAACGATCAGATAGGCCGGCTCTTTGTCAAGACTCGGATGCGGTCATCAAGTACACAACTAGCCACATCAGGATTTGCCCTTGGTATTGTGCAACGAATGCTGGGAGTGGCGACTACATTGTAACAAGCGGGTAGATAGAAATAAATGGCATGAACCCCCCTGAGGCCGGAACGTGATGTCTACGGCAAGAATCGTCAACATTAACGACAACCTTGCATCAGCATTCTTTGAAAGATATCACTTACTCGGTACTCGATACAGCGAACCCATCTATACCATACGATGCGCTATTCCACCGTCACCGCCATTGCTGGCTTCGTTTCAGCTACGGCGGCCGAATCATCTCCCCCGCCCGAGTGGGGGAAGCCAGCGCTCCCGGGCCTGTTCCCCTCTTGGCCCTGGTGCGTGCGGGTGAGTTGCCAAGTACCTACCTCTCTCTACTCTAGGCAAGGCCTCGCACCCACGCTAACCAGCCTGCCCTCATTCGCAAGGTGCACGATGTCAAGTCGGGCGACACGTGCTGGGCCATCGCCGAGACGTACAAGATCACGGACTGGGACCTGAAGCTGTGGAATAACTACTTCATGCTCAGGACGTGCGATCAGCTCGAGATCGGCGCCCGGCTCTGCGTGGCCTCGTACAACATCCCGGACCCAGCCAACGCCCCGCCGCCGCCGCCGCCGCCGCCGACGCAGGCGCCACCCGCGCCCACTCCGCCGCCTAGGCTGACGACGACGCCGCCCGACGACCAAAAGACGTTCCCGTTCACCTTCTGCGGGCGGTGCCCCCACGACAGGAACGACCTGTGCCAGTGCCAGGAGAAGTCCCGTGGGCACAGGGGTATTTGCAGCTTTTACAGGCCTTGGTGGGTCTTATGTTTCGTTCTACCTCTCCATGTTCTGTTGTTCCCCTGCATTGCCGATGGTTGTTTTGATAAGATTTACTGACCTCACACTTCTTTTGTCCCTAGTGACGAGCGATGCGATTACATTGCTCCTTGCTAATCTGGCCCAGGGGTGGTATCGAGGGGAGCGGAGAATAGGATCCCACCACAATCTTGTCATGTTTATAAGAGACGGGTGTTTGTTTTGTTTTAATGACGAATTCGCTAGAATTAGATTCATCTTGTAGAAACATGAAGCACGCATGTCTCGGAGCCATGGAGGGGTTATTAGCTGTGCTTTATCGTTCTTTGAAACAAAAGGGAGGGGGTTTGCTGTCCGACTCGACCCGCTGGACGGAGATTCCCAAACCACCGGCATGTCATGCCTCTTGTCATGTTCCCATATCACGGTACTCGTTCCATCGTCAAATCTTGCCTGGACGCCCGCTCCACCGAACCGCCGTCTATCATGGTATAAATCCGAACGAGCCATGCATGTTTCACCCCTGGAAATGCCCTGAAAACAGCCCACCGCCCACGCAATCAAGACTGCTGTCTCGCCTGCGTCCTGCTCGACGGGCGCCGCGCCGCCTCGTCCCGCGCGCCCGGTTCGCGCGCCGGCCGCACGTACTCGGCGATGCGCTGCGTGATGCTCGGCTTGCGACGCAGGGCCGGCGTCGCCATGACCCCGCGGGCCCCGACCAGCCCCTCCTCCTCCTCAATGCTCGCGCCCCTGCCCGCCGAAGACGTCCAACTCGGACGCTTGGCGTGGCGCTGCCAGGACTGCTGCTGCTGCTGCTGCTGCTGCTGCTGGAACGCCGACCCGCCGGCGCCAAGCGTGTATGAGTGGCCGCTGTCGCGCTTGGACCTGCTGCGGCTGCTGCGCGGGGGGTTCACGGTAGTTGTGCCGCCCGCGCTGGAGTTGGATTGGGCGCCCTGGTCCTCTTCGATGCCGCCGAGCCTTGGCGGCGGCGGCGGCGGGGCGGCCATCTGCCAGTAGAAGGGGTTCGGCGGCGGCAGCTGCGGGGCGGGGACGCGGCCGGCCAGGCCCTGTGCCGCCGCCAACTGTCGTCGCCGGAGCGCCTGCTCCTCCCTCTCGGCGGCGCGGCGGACGAAGAGCTCGTAGTCTGTGAGTTGCGGAGCTTGCTGCTCGCCAGTTTGGTCCGCAGTGCGCTGGGGTTGATCTTGCGTCACCCCTGTGATGCCTCCTTCTGGTTTCGCTGTCGGTGTCGCCGAGGAGTCGATGACATGGCTGCCTCCTGCGTGGGCGTCAACGACGCCAGCGCGGGCTGCGAAAGACAATTTCTCATCCGGGTTCGATTCCAGGACGGGACTAGTGGGAAAGGGGCCCTTGGAGTCTCGAGGGGAAGAACCTTGCTTTTCGTGCGAATCGACCCTCAGGGCGAGTGGCTTCCCCTGCCTCTGGCGGTGCTGGCTTGGCTGTGTTGCATCTGCGCTTGGCGGCAGCGACGCAGCGGCGTGCGAATGGTCGCCACTAGGCTCTTCTTCGGCGATGTCGGAGGAGAAAGAGGCAAGCCTCCGGAGCTGAGAAGTCAGCTGATCATGCGCCGCAGAATCGTCGAGCGTCCTGTTGTGTCGGGCGCTGCTGCGCGAGTAGAACTGGTAGCCCTCGCGAACGCGGGGGTCGAGGCGTGAGAAATCCGATGCGGCATGCGTTGGGACGTATGCCGCCTTTTTGACTGGCTGTTGTGGCGGCTGCTGTTGTTGCTGCTGCTGCTGCTGCTGCTTTTGCTGCTGCTGCTGCTGCTGCTGCTCCCGCGGCGAGAGTGTGCTCGAGGATCGTAGTCGCAGCCGATCCATCAAGCTCGGCTTCCTTGTTAGGGGTGCGGGTGGCATTGCGACGGCTGCAGCCTGCAGGGTGTCAGCCGCAAACGCCGTCTGGGGACGGTTTGGCGACGGCGGGGATTGGGCGGGCGCGCTTGTGCGCTGCTCTTGGACCGAAACACGAGCGGACGTCGGCTCGGCGCGGCTGTCGTCCGGCGCTTGCTGGGCAGGTGATCTCTGCTGGTCGGCGACGGCGACGTCGTAGCCCGAGGAGGGCTCCTTGGCTGGCTTGGGCGTCCTCGGACGCCTGAGCGAGCTGGCGCGTCGGAGCAGACGGCCAAATATACCAGGCGGCGGGCCCGCAGCAGCAGCTCCAGAAGGAGCAGTGGTGTGACAGACAGCCGTTGGAATATTGGCAGCATGAGCCGTCGTATTGCCGGCAGTATGTGCGGGGTGCGCCTGACCCCCTGCCCCCCCAGACCCGGACTGGGTCGCTGGGTCCGCCAGTGTGACGCCGGCCGGCTGGGGTTGGCGACCTGTGTGGCTCGTAATCAACGGCTGCAGCTGCGCCGACGCAAGCGATCCCGCTGCCTCGGGTTCTTGCCACGACCGTTTGCTGTGTCCAAACAGGAGGCTCCGCCGACGCGACGGCGAGGGTGCTCGTTGTCTCTGGGGGCGTTGGTGGTGGTATAGGTCTTGGTGTTCTTGGTGGTCTTGGTAGTGCTGCCCTGCTGCTGCTGCTGCTGCTAGTGTTGACTTTTCTATCAGATGGGCGCTTGGGTCGAGCGACAGGTCGGCCGACTGGAAAAAAGAGGGCGGCAGAGATTGCCGATGCCAGGACAGACGGGCCTTTATGCGGCAACCAAGGGCGGTGGTGGTGTCGTGGTGGCGCGACGAGGAGCGGACGAGGGCTGCCTGGGCTGCATCCTTATGGTCGAGTTGGACACGCCCGTCAGCGGCGCTTTCTCGCCGTCCCGGTCCTGCGAGCTTCCTCGTGCCCTCTGTTTCCATGGCGGGCTCGGTGGGGGCTGCGGGGGCAGCAGAGACAAGGGAGACAGCAGCCCGACTTGACTGAATCGCGGTATATTAGTGACCTGGTGGGCAGCACGCGGCCATGGTGGTCGCGGGATGGAGCTGTGCGACGGTGGCTGCGAATGGGAGGCCACGGAAAGAGCGGGCTCTTCTGCACAGCTCGTCTGTTGTGCCCAGGATGGAATGAGGTGTGCCGGATGCCAGCCAGAAGTGCCAGACCAGGACTAACAACACTGCGGCGATGCTCGGGAATGATATTCGTTGGCGTCGTCGCCTGGTTCCAGCAGCTGGCTCCAGCAGCCGCACAGTCGCTTAAAGGCCGTCGAGCTCTAATGGCAGTTGCTGTTGGGGGGGTCCTTGTCTTGTATGTGTTGTTTCACTGTACCGACTGGCACGCCCGCCCCTCACCGACAGGAGAAACATGGCTGCCCGAGAGCACAGTAGTAGGTGTGATTGTTGGTATCGACGCCCTCGTCTCAGACGCCCCGAGGGCTAGCGTGCGGGCTAGGCCCACATGGAGCAAACGTGCAAACATCGCCGCCGACCCTTGTCTCGAGCTCAGACCCAGCCCTGCTAAGTCCAACGACCCAGATTGCCAGAGCATTCCAATGTGCCTGTAGGTTGGTCCCCACGTTCAGTCTCACCTTCCTCCCTGCGGCTGCATGTGCCGCACTCCTCCTTCTTGGTACATGCCCTGACGTGGGCACCTATGTATGTACTTAGCCTCCTCTGTGTCACCTAATTAAGCGAGAGCTTTCCAATCCCGAGTAGGACAATGGCACGAATGGGTCCCAGCATTGCAGCGTTCCTCGATGGCACTGGGCCCAGGCCCTCACAGCTCGTTCGTTGGCTTGTTGGCTTGGTGGCTTGCATGCACCTCAGCTTGGCCGGGCTCTCAAGCCAGGGTCAAGGACATGTGCCCAGCCTCTGCCTCCTGCTGTGCTGTCGATCTGCCGCTTCTGCGCGCCCCACCACCCTGACCAGGCCTGTTGGACGTTGGGCGTCACATTCTTCTTGAGTGAAAAAAAAAAAAAACACTCTTCCCATTGCGCACACAGCTTTCGAGTTATTTTGGCAGGAGCCATTGTGGGGTTTGTTTTCTGCGCGTGAAGAACAGCCGCATAACTGCTCTGATTGTGCCCCAGAGATGGGAACACAGGATGCATCCTTCCTCGACAAAATGAGCGCCGCCCTCGGGAATTTCTTTCCCCAGCAAACCCACAGCAACAAGACGCCGCGCCGTTGTGTGGCACGTCAACAGTCGCACGGGCTTGCTCGACTCCTCGCCTTTGTCCATCGGCCCTAGCGGCGGCTCCTGGGGAAAAAGATCAGCTAGCAGGGCTTCCTTGTTGGGCAGGGCTAGCCCGCCCTCCAGCCCTCTTGCAAGCCATGCCATCACCTCTGTCAAGCCACCGCTAACTCCAGCGAGTCAGGTTGGCGCTTTGTGTTGCCGACCCTCCCTCTTCTTTGATACTGAGCTGGACCATGCATCGCGATTACTGATGCCTCGAACACCCTTGCAAGACACGCGCCGTGAGTGCCATTTTAGTCGAACAGCCGTCGCAGTGACGAGATCAGGCTGGGCCACACTACTTGAGGTGTATCTTCTCGTAAAATTCGGAACCCGCTTTGCAGTGGGTGTCTGGTCAGAGAATGGAGTCAACCATCCAAAACAGGCTAATTTGGCCGTGTGTGCTATTTTCCAAACACTGCGCCCACTAGTAAAGTAGAGGGGTCGTTCTTCACCGCCCAAAAGTATCGTTGCGATCGTGAAGTCTTCGCCGACGTTGTGAGGCTATTTAGAAGCCATGGAGCCGCCGTTTTAAGTGCTGTTGGGGCTGTTGCTTTTGAGCACGCCGCCTGCCAAGTGACGAGGCGGGCGAGGCACACTCTGTGGCCTCTCGAGAACTGCAGTGTCGCTTCCCTGACGTCAGCATGCGGCGAACCCGCCAGTCTGGGCCGTCGGATTCCGCCAACGGAGACTGGCTGCATGCTTGGGTCCGGGCGACTGACAGAGCCGCGGGAGCCGAAGGCTTGAGAATCTGCATGGGTCCTTTAGGGGACCCTTTGCTGCATTGGTCTTGGGCCCGGTCTGGAGTTCTTCCTCGCCTGAGACTGTACTAGCGTCTTTGCCCTCTGTTCGCCCCTCAAGACAGAAAGAGGATGGCTTTGGCAGTGCTCCTAGTTTGGAGCTACGACGCTACCCTCGTAGAGCGTTGATGGTTTATCAGCATTTACCGTCTGCCCCAAGCCCTTTCATCCTTCGGCTGTTTATGGATGGTGCCGTCAATCCATATATCAAATATGGTCTAGCAAATTCGATAGTTCCCTGTGGCGCCCAAGGCCGGACCCTGTTGGCTGCTGCCAGTGTGGTCGCTCAAGAAGCTCCAACATATCCTGTGACCTCAACAACTCTGAGGCGGCGCTTGCTCTTCCAGCGTGCTTCGAACCGTCACAAGGGGCGCCACGCATACACACACACACCCCCCGCCCTTCAGCTGAACTGGCAATCAAGGCGAGGCCGCAAAGCTGCTGCACCAGTTCCTGATTTGCCACCAACGAGTTTACAGTTCTTACGTGCGTACGTGAACGAACCCACACGACTAGCTAACAATGGAGCGGTGCCGACTGGCATACGCTGGCCGTGGCTAATCATGCACATCGTACAAGAGACGCATGGCTGGACCAGGAACGAGCCACCATGGGCTGCTGAACGTCAGGTCTAGACCCGGGGTCTCAGTATCCAAGCTGGTGCGGGCTCGGCTTCTGCGAACAACAAAACAAAGCAGCGAGGGGGTTTTCGCGAAACGCCCCCTGCTCACTCTCCTCCCGGTGGTTGCGGTCCGCCACCGCCCGCTGCGAGGCCTATGGCGGAAATGTACCGGTGCGTGCCTGCGCGCGGCTGCAAGGCCTGCCACGAGGTCCCAAAGGCAAGGGCGCGGTGGCGCCGGGAAGGTTGCGTGCGCTACCGCCACCGAGGCGGGCCTTCAGCTGCGATGAGGTATTATGCTTCGAGGCACTTGCCTGTGTCTCCCCTGGCTGCAGGTAATCGACAGCAACAGCAGGCGGCAGGCTTCTCGATTGGGACGCCCGTCCAAGGCTCCTACGGGGCTGTCTCCCAACTTGGTTTTCGCGATCCAAACGTGTTGGCGGGAATGGTAATCTTTGTCGTTGGCACGCGGTGGTCGTCCTTGCTCGTCCGTCGTGTCGTCCAAACTTGCAGAGAAGCCTGTCCAGGTCGGACGAAATAAACAAAAGATGAGAGCAATGACGCGACTGGCTGCACCGCCAGCTTCCAGGATTTTGCCGCGCCAGGTGCCGTCAAAATGAGCCACACCTGCTGGAGCTCTAGCCTGCCTATCACCGCGCGAATGACGTATTGCAGCCTGGGCGCGAAGCCACAATTCGACGCTGGCCTTTGACGGCATCTATTTCGCAACATCAGGTTTTTGGGCATATTCACGTGTGGTTATTCTATCATATAATCACAGCTTATCGCCGCCGCGCTTGACATAGTTTGATCTAGCTTTCCCAATCTAGGGAAGCTGAGTCCACGACGCCTTGTAATTGTGCGAATCACATCACGCCTCCTTGCATCGCAACCGATCTCGCCAATTCCCCTCACCGAAACCAAGAAACTCTATCAGTCCCAGTCAAACACCATGGAAGGCGTAAAAAAGACGTACAACGAGCAGTACGAGAAGTGGGTCCCATGGCTGGAGGACATCTTCCTGCGGTACTTTACCAAGGACAACAAGGCCTCTTACACGGCCAAAGGTGAGCAGCACCCCGTCCGACACCAACTAAATAGACAAGACTGCTCACTCACCCTCCCCGCCTCCCCCAGATAACCTCAGCAAAACCAAGGTTACGGGCGTCAAGGAGGTTGACACCCTCCAGGACGGCGTCAACAACACCGTCGGCGACCAGCTGGGCCAGGAGGGGCTCGCCCGCCCCGTCGGCGACCTGGTCTCCAAGGAGGGCCTCAACCGGTTCGAGCGCCAGGGCAAGGACGAGCAGGGCCGGTACGTCGGGCCCTCGACTGTGACGCAGGCCGGCCAGTCCGTCGCCGGCGCGGCCAAGACGGGCGCCGAGTCTGTTGGCGGCGCCGTCGGTGGCTTGTTTGGAGGCTCCGGCTCAAATAAGTGATTCTATCAGAGGGGTGTCGGAAAGTTTTAGCTTCTGTTCTCGGATGCATCCGGTTGTTTTACTAAGCTCTGTAATATCATATGTATATGTCTTTTGTCTGTCTTCCTTCTAGCTGGCAGCTTCATCTAACAATTCTTCCGGCCTCTTTTATAAAATCGACTTCACAATGCCCGTTGGATAAATAAATGATTCCTTACAATGTGAACAAAGCACGTTGCGATTTCAGACAGCTGCTAGGTGCAACCCGAGGTCATTGTCATACACCAAGTTAATTTGCAAATAGTGGAAGGAATCAAGCAGCCTCGAACCAATCTAGGGAACTTACGATACCAAGCCCTCCGAGCTAGGTTCGTCGCCAAAATCATAGAAATACATTAATTAAAGAGTAATAAACCTGCCTCAAGAGACAGTCCAGCGAACGTCATTGAAGATTGATATCCGTTGAAGTTGGATTCAAATCACGCAGCCCTCATCTCGATAAATACAAGTGACAAGCACTGTTCCCAGCTACGCCTTTACTTAACAACATCACATACTCTATGATAGCATTATTGCTCTCTGGTATCTACGCAAAGACAACGACAACAGGCCCTTGTAACTCTCATTAAACCTCAAATACAGTAAAATGCAATGCCTACCCCATAAACAGGGACAAAGGCGTCAAGGCCAAAGTTGCCCGCCAGCACAACCAGCCCCCTCACAGGCAGACAAACACCGTCGACGTCCCGGTGGGCAGCGTCGTCGTCGATGTGAACCTGACGACGGGCCCGTACCCCCCGACGGCGGTGCTCAGCTGCAGCTCGCAGCCGCCGCAGTTGAGCCTCACCGTCTCGGTCACGACTCTCCGGTGCTGCGTGGCCACCGGCCCGGCCGTCCGCTGCGGCTGCACCACGCGCGTCGTCCGGCACGCCGCCTGCCTCTTCACCCGCTCCGTCGTGTCGCCCCCACCGGCCGTCGTCGTCGGTGCTGCCACTGCCGGCGCCGCTCGCGTGGCGTGGTGGTGTAAGTCTCGCCGGCCGAGGCGCGTGGCGGCGCAGACGGTGCTCCACGACGTGCTCGGTTCGTTGACGGTGCGGATGCCGAGGATGCGGCGCAGCGGGCAGAAGTAGACCTCGCGCGGGATGAAGAGGTCCCGACACCGCCCGCAGTCGACCTGCGCGAGCAGCGTGCGCGTCGACGGGTACACCGTCTCGTAGCCCTCCGTCGTGCACGGGTAGCGTGGTGTAGGCGTTAGAGTCGAGGTGCACGCGGCCGCGTCTGCGTCTGCGCCTGCGTCTGCGGCCTCGCGAATCTCTGAGGATGGTGCGCCTCGTCGCTGTGGTAGCGGCTGGATGCCCTCCACGTCGATCTCGGGCTCGGGCTCTTTCGTGTCGGCCCTGGGTGTGGTTTGGTGGCCGATCCTGCCTTCGCCTCGGGCCGGTATGCCTCCTGTTTCCGTGTAGGTGATTGGGACTAGTATGGCTAGGCCTAGTGCTTGAGGGTTCATGCCGACAGGCGAGGCTGTAGAGAGAGACACTGCCGAGGCGGCGAATAGAAACTTCGCTAGCAGATCCATGATGTGGGCGGGGTTGGGGTCAGGGAGATGGTAGCGGGGTGGCGTCTACTGGAGTCGACGGAAGGGCGTGTGAGGGGGAAGACATAAACTGTCAGGTTGACAAAGAATCCCGGCGCTATGTTTCGAGTGACAGCTAGGAGTCTGGGGTAGTGCCTTTGGATGATGGCGTTTTATACCAAGCCTTGCTCTATCGGTTGAGGTCCATGTCCCTGGAGAGTTGCGGATGAGCCTAGGCCGAGCCTGGACCAAAACTGCCCATCTGGGTGGGCCACCCGGGATTTAGGTGAACAGGTTGGCGAAGGCCTCACTGATGGTATTCCCCGGGAGAGTAACCTCACACTGACACATGTATGTACCGGCCGCGGCTTGATGGACTCAGTCATCGAGGATGGGGACTGATAGTGGTGGGAAGGGTTGTGCCGGCGCCTGGGTCGGGAATGGCGGGTGAGAGGACTTTATTTTAGGAAGGGACTAGTGGCGTGCATGACAGTGTGACCGTGGTTCCGAGAGGGAAAGAGCAGCTGGCCGAGGTTTGCCTGCCCCGAAAGGGGAAACCAACCCGCCTGGCTCGAAGCGCATGGGCCCCTGATACCTAGCTCACCGATAGGACGCGGATGGTCGCCATGCAGGCTATATGGCGGAAAGGCCCTGGATACATCCGTCTACTGCAACGTATGGCCAATGACCGACCAAGTTACTGCAAAAAGAGGCTACAGGCGGCGAATAAGTAGCAAGGCTTCTGGCTGCGGCCTGCTGATACTTGGCCTGCTGATACTGGGCCTGATTGGACGGGTAAATTGAGGGTCCAAATCAGGGCTGAAGGCAGCTTCTACATGCTTCCTCCACCGAATCTATATTACAGGCAAATTGCACACCATTCTGCATGACCCCTTCGGTCAAAAGCAGACGCATGCAGGAGCGGTCGGGATCTACGTAGCGATAAGTTTTCGGAATATTGAACGTCGCACCGCGTGGTGCAAGGGGCAGGCCTAAAAATAGGGCTTAAGCGTCGTCAAGAGTGGTGCCGACAGTAGGATGACCTCTCTGCCTTTGCGGAACCCAGGATGGGGATTGAGAACCTTCTTTTATCACGCTGGAGCCCAGTTGAGATCGGAGCCATTCGCAAAGTTGAAGTCGAGACCTTCAATGTCTATCTAGCCGTGGGTTTCCATGTTAGCGAGTGCCCCAAGAACAGATTCCCTCGCGTCCAAAATTGCGAGGGAGTAAGAGTGCTCAAAACTCACAAAATCGTCCCACGTCCAGCTGGTGTCCATGCCAAGCGGCAACCCCTCGGCGGCCGTGCCCCCGAAAGCCAGGAACTTTTCTTCTGGGGTGCTCGTGATCAATGTGTCGGCTTCGTAGCCCTTGTCTTCGCAGCCACCCATGTCCTCAGGTCTATGGGGGTCCAGGCCTGCTAGCATGCTGGCCTCAGCTCTGTCGCCGAGCGCGGTAGAGTCTGGGGCGATACCGACACGAGCTGCCGAGGACCTGAGGAGCTCCTGGCAAGCGGCTGCTTCGTCCATCATGGCCTGGCCCGTCCGCCTCAGGACCTCGTCGTCTCCGCACCCGCGTCGCAGAGCCTCTTCTTGGGCTAGGATCCCGGAAAACAGCACGCTGGCCCGGATGTTGGTCTCGCCGGCGGCGACGCGCCTAATCGCCCAGGCTTGAACGCCCTTGAGCGCTGCAGTAAGCTCCGCCGAGGGCACCACGCCGAGCCCCGTCGCCAATGGCTGTGAAGGCGACTTTCCATGGCCCGTCTGCTGGGCCCCAGGGAGCGACATATCTGCGTTGATGTTTTGCCTCGCGCCCGCCCTGATGACACGGTTGTCTTCTGCCTGCCACAGAAGCTCGAGTCCCAGCGTCATGGAGCACTGCCACGGGAACATGCGATAGGTTCCCGATCCACATGTTGACAAGCGCAGGAAGTCGGCACGCCCAACGTCCTCAGCGTGGGCGCCTTTGTTGTCGTAACTAGCCAAAACTTGAGGAGCTTTCAGGGCCGTCTCTACAGAGACTTTGCGGGAGAAATAGTAGTGCGGGTCTCGCTGGGAGGCAGCCGTCCAGGGGAGGTGCAGGGCAAGGGAAAACAATTGCATGACATGTTCTACCACGAGAATCTGGAACCCAGAGGGCCGTCCGAGGCCCTCATCTCTAAACGAGCCAAATACACGAGAAAGCCCCCTCGTGGCTGTCGTGAGGTCTGCATGCAGCCGCAGCGTTGTGTTGTAGCAGGACTTCCGCCGGAAATCGTTGAGATATTGTACGATAGCTAGGCGAGTTGGGAACGATCTGTACAGGGCGATCTGAACCGACGTCTGCGTGAAGCAGTCTACCGGCCTTGGGTCGGGCAGCGGCCCGACGTTAGGCTCTGCGCCGCCATGGTCTTCCAGGTCGGCGTCTTCGAGATTGGAAGGGGGTCGGGTATCGAAGTCGGACAGCGATATCGCCGCAGGGCCCCCGATGTCCACGCTTGCCTGTAGCGCGATCTCCATGATGGTTGCCCACAACCTCCGCCTGAGCTCGGCTCGGAGCCGAGGCATCCTTGGCAAGTGGTCGGGATCACGGTGAAGGCCCATGTAGATGGCCATTCTGACCACCTCGCCCGCAGATATCCAGACTAGATCTTCCCCTGAGCCGGTTGTCTGCCGAGCCAGATGCAAAAGACACATTGTCTGTATGGTGGAGAGGACCAGGCGGGACTTCAGGGCCGACAAGGGCGAAAGCAGCCAGGTGTGAGCCTCTTGTATCCAGCGCGTGGACAGGCTCCTCATATCGTACGTGTCGTCCTGAAAACAGGCCCCGATGGCGAGGACTAGCTTCAGCTGGTTCACGAACGCCTCGCTACAGCCGGCTGGGTCTTCCCAGTATTTGGAGTAGTCCAGGTAGAAGGTTGGGATGTGCAGGATGCGATAGACGGTCTCAAAGGTCCTCACGTAGGCAGCGACAAGCTGGTCGCAGACCTCCCTGGACGGCATCTCGGCGCTTCCGGGCTCGCCCAATTCGCGGATTCTCTTAGACTTTATCAGGCGCGCGAGAGTTTTGCATTTTCGGATTCTCTCCGAGACCGACAGAGGATGGCCGGGCGGTATGCTGAAAACCTCCATGACAACAGTGAACTACGATGGCAAGAAACTTAGCAAATAGGGAGACAGGGGGCATGAGGCCGTTGATAAGAAGGTGGAAAGTAGTTGTGGGAATAGTACCAGGGGCGCAAGGTGCACCCAGTGGCTCTGGCCATAATAGTGTCTTTTAAACAACTTGCCCTTGAGCTCGTCTGGGTCTTTGGGGGGCGGGTCGACAGCATGAGGAGCGGGCGCGTTTGCTTGGGCGGTGGCTAGGGTTTGGGCCAGACGCTTCTCAAGTTCTTTGACGCGCTCTGTCAAGAGCGCCACATCGGAGTGGCTCGATTGGCTGGTGGATGGCGTGTTAGGGGAGTGAGGGTTGTGGTATAGTTTACTGAGAGAAGTGTCCGTTTCGGAAGACGGCTCAGAAGTCCTCCTCGCTGGGTGCAGTGCCAACAACGGAGCGAGCACCCCTGGAACAGCCGGGGGCCTGACCGCCGACGAGCGTCTCGGAAGCAGCAGTTCGGCTTGGTAGTGGCACTCGGCAGGCCGTTGTGCTCGGATACAGTTTGAGCATGGCTGTACCCTATCGCACTTGACTTTTCGCTTGCGGCAGGTCTCTGATGGAGCAGTCAGTCGGCCGAACAGGCCATCTACTTCTAACCGGCTTCTCGGGAATAACAGAGCATCATTTGATGGTCCGAACGAGGGTCAAAGCCGGGGTAGGACGTAGGTCGGCGCGTGACCTGCATTCTTGAGGCTTACCACAGGTCAACGCCTGACGGCGGCGGCGGCGGCGGGCTGTTTCAGTCGACGATTGCGATGCCATGGCGGCGTCGTGGCTAGGTAATGCTTTGTCCATAATGCCACCGTTTGTTCCGCGATTCCCGGCGCTTCCAACTTGTGGATAGAATAGCTTCGCTATTTTCGACCGATGGTATTTTTCTACGAGGGCGAGGGGAGGTGAATATGACGGGCGAAGGGCGGGAACCCGACTAAAGTCCGAGCCGGTGGCCCACGAGCTAACTCCACCAATAGCAACACACATAGCCCCGAGCCCAGTTAGTCACTAGCTCAGGCCGCGAACAACTTCCAGGCCTGGGAGCCAACTACGTAGCCTCTGAAATGACGCGTTCCATGCACAAAAGAAACGAGGCAAATAGATTGACGCAACAGTCAAGGTCTCGTTTATAGCCCGGAACGCAATGCCGCATTTACCCCATATTATACAGTTGTAGAGACGTCAAAATACCATTTGCACGCTGACAGAGGCGTTCCCTCCTTTTCTAAACACCCGGACAGACGAAAAATGGCGCAAATCCCCTTCCTAGGAAGCTATAGTAGCAGCTGCAATGGGTTCTCCACCACCTTCTTTAGCTCCTTCATCCACTCGGCACCAACCGCGCCGTCAACAACCTTGTGGTCGAAGCTGGCCGTTACGGTGATCTGGTCGTCCCACTGTATGCCCGTGGTGCCATCCTCGTTCTCGACCGGAACTGCCACCTTCTGGGTGCTGCCGACGGCAAGGATGGCCGCCTGGGGAGGGTTGATGATGGCGGTGAAGCGCTCGACAGCCGGGTTCATGCCCATGTTGGAGATGGAGATGCTGCCGCCCTGGTATTCCTCCGGCTTGAGCTTGCCGTCGCGCGCGCGCTTGGCCAGCTCCTTTACTGAAGACGAGATGCTCTCCAGACCCTTGGTCTCGACAGCAGTGACGATGGGGGTGATCAGGCCGACGGGGGTGGACACGGCGACCGACACATCGACCGTGTTGAACTGCCGGATGACGCCGTCGCGCCACGAAGAGTTCACCTGCGGTACCTTCTTGGAGGCGACAGAGATAGCCTTGATGAGGAAATCGTTGACGCTCAGCTTGTACTTGCCCTCAGAGGAGCTGTTCAGAGCCTGGCGCAGCTTCAGGAGCTTCGAGACGGAGAGAGAGGACGAGACGAAATAGTGCGGGTTCTCCGCGATGGACTCCTTGAGGCGGTTGGCAATGGTCTTGCGCATACCGCTGATGGGGACGTCCTCGTAGGGAGCACCAGCGGCGGCCGGGGCGCCGCCAACGGAACCACTCGATGCAGCCTTCCTGACATCCTCCTCGGTGATCTTGCCGCCCTGTCCGGTACCCTTCAGGCCGTCAACCTTGACGCCCTTCTCGATGGCCAGGCGCTTGGCGGCGGGGCTCATGTTGGGTTCCCGCTCGAGCGCCGTCTGCAGCTTGCCGCTGGAGGGAGCGTTGTCGGGCTCTGGGGCGGGCGTGGGCGTGGGGGTAGATGCGGCTTTTGACGACTCCTCGACGTTCTTCTCTTCCTTGGGAGGGGCCTTTGCGGCACCGCCGGCATCCTGCAGGCTGAAGCCCTCAAAAGCGGAGACATCGGTGCCCTCCTCGACAAGGACTGCGATGGGCTGTGGCGGCAAGGATCAGTCAGCTTAGCGGCTCTTGGGTGCTGGCGGCCGAAGCCCCGGACCGGGGGAGCTCCGAGGGGGCATAGACGTACGTTGCCAACCGTGATGTCCTTTGAGCCAGTGTCCGTCAGGATCTTGGCCAGAACACCCTCTTCTTGGAACTCAAAGTCCATCTGGGCCTTGTCCGTCTCGATCTCGACAAGCACATCTCCCGGCGCGATGGAGTCGCCGGGCTTCTTCTGCCAAGCGCCGATGTTGCCCGACGTCATGGTGGGCGATAGCGCCGGCATCTTGACGACGGTGTGCGGTGGGTAAGAGGCGTACCATCTTGTCAGGGACGGCACGACATAGCGCAGGTTGGCGCTCTGGAGGGCACGCCTCCGGAGAACGGGGGCGAGCATGATGGGCAGCGAGTAGCGGGGTCAATTGGGTCGAGAAGCTGGGCGACGACGGCTTCGGAGTGCAAGTGTTGAAGGACGCAGGCCAGCTTTATCGCTTGCTCGCCAAACTCTTACTTGCTCCCAATTTTTTTGAGTCTGGCAACGTTGGGACAGCTCGCGGGCAAACTAAGCCACTTTGGGACTAGTCTCCCGACAAATACCTATCGGCCAGCCACGCTGCGCCGGACCCCCGATAAGCCACAGGAACAGTCCGGCACGCTGCGGTTGAGGTGGGGCTGGGCGGGGGACGAAAATGCACCCGCGCGACAGCCTTGCAATGCAGGTTCCGAACGAGATCAAGCTGTCAAAGATAGAAGGCGCGCCTTAGTGTATGTGTGAACCACGTGAGCAGTGGCAGCATATAATAGCCGTTTACGGCTCTAGCTTCAAGTCTGCTCTGGCGGAATGCAGTGCCTGTATTGATGTTCAATGCTGGGGGCACCTTCGTCTCCACCACTTTTGACATATGCGAGAGTTACCTACCAGGTGGGCACTCTCCCTTGGACTTGGCCCTCGAGCGCGAGCTTGCATCTCGAGCGCATGTCATGGAGGCCAAGTGAACTTCACGGGAGGTAAAGTCAATTCAACGGCTTCCACAAGATGGAATGACACGCAACCATAAATGACAAACAGGGACTCAGATCAGAGCAACCGTTATAGCGGCACGAAACCCTGGCTTTTAAGGTTGCCCCAGCGTATCAGGGGGCGCTAAATCGGGCCCAAGAGGCCTCATGTCGAGCTGGAGCGCAAGGCAATCAAGTGGAGCCGGGTCATAGCAATGGTGCGTCAGCCTGCACGGCTTCCAGAGTGAGAGTGAGAGGCTTCCAGGACCCACATAATTTGGGCTAAGGAACATGGGCCCCACGGGCTCACAGGCCCCATCGCCAAAGGGGTTCGTGTCTTCAACTCGTCTTGTCGAAGCCAGAGTCGCGAGCAAGCACCAGTAACCCTCACAGGCCGACGATTGCTGGACGACGCCGAGTTCCACACCTACCGCGCATCTGGGTCCTGTGATAATGCCGCTGGCCAACTGACCGCTGCCGCCCTGCCGCCGATCCGCGCATGCTGTCCTCGTAATAGGCAAGCCCGCAGCCCGCAGCCCGCAGCTCCAAGGCCTCGGCCTCTGTTGCCCCCCATCCGTCGCCCTCTTGCTGCGGATGGCCTGTCTCTCCCGCCAACCCCGCCTCCCGACGTGACCCGAAGTCCCCCCCGACCCCCATGAGCTCACTCAAGTTCGTCGTGTCGTCCTTGGAGGCGATCGCCAAGGAGGCCCAGCGGAACAAGCAGCTGTCCGAATCCGTCCAGACTGCGCTCGCCGCCATCAAAGAAAGCGACCCGGACCTCCCGGATCCCGAGCTCATATTCGCTCCTCTACAGCTGGCCACCAAGTCTGGCAGCGTGAGCCTGACGACCACAGCCCTCGACTCCATTGGCAAGCTCACGTCGTCGTCCTACTTCTCCCAGTCTGAGACGCAGGAAACCCCCGACCACATCCCCCTGATAGAGCGCGCGATCGACACGATATGCGACTGCTTTCAGGGCGAGACCACCCACGCCGACGTCCAGCTGCAGATTGTCAAATCCCTACTTGCTGCTGTTCTCAATGATAAGATCATCGTCCACGGCGCGGGCCTTCTCAAGGCCGTCCGCCAGGTCTACAATGTGTTCCTCTTGTCACGGAGCCCCGTGAACCAGCAGGTCGCGCAGGGCACGCTGACACAGATGGCAGGCACTGTCTTTGAGCGTGTCAAGACCAGACTGCACATGAAGGAGTCGAGGGTCAACCTTTCCAAACTGAAGCACAGCACGAGCAATGTGACGTTCGGACCCCCAGAGTCTCTCAGCGACGATTTCGATGACGCCGACGCCGTGGACGGTGTCTCGGAAGCAGACCCATCCGAGGCGCATGAGGACAGCGCCGCAAAGCTCACACTCAAAGATCTCGAGCGAATAAAGAACTTTGACGACTCTAGCCTGGGTGACGCGCCAACAAAAGTCAGTCAGGTCAAGCCCGCCAAGAGGCCAGCAAGGTCCATCTCGGAGCAGACACAGGGCGACAGCCCTGCCGAGGACACATCGGAGGCGCTTGACGCCGAGGACGAGGTGTACATACGTGACGCCTACCTCGTCTTCCGCTCTTTCTGCAACCTGTCGACAAAGATATTGCCCCAGGACCAGCTCTACGACCTCAAGGGTCAGGCGATGAGATCGAAGCTGATATCGCTCCACCTTATCCACACCCTCCTGCACAGCAACATTGCAGTCTTTGTTTCTCCTCTCTGTGCCATCACCAACACCAAAAGCAACGAGCCGACAAGCTTTCTGGATGCCATAAAGTACTACCTATGTCTCAGCATCACGAGGAACGGCGCAAGCTCCGTGGACAAGGTCTTCGAAGTCACCTGCGAGATCTTTTGGCTAATAATAAAGTTCATGCGAGCATCTTTCAAGGTAAGCCGTGCATCTTGGTCTGTTTGCTTTGGTACGGCCACTAATCACTTGGTTTCATCTCACACAGAAAGAGATCGAGGTCGTTCTGAACGAGATCTACCTGGCGTTGCTGGCAAGGAAAAACGCGCCCATCTCTCAGAAAACCTACTTCGTCGGCATCCTCAACCGCCTATGCGCCGACCCCCGTGCTCTGGTCGAGGTGTATCTGAATTATGACTGCGACCGCAATGTGGATAACATCTTTCAGACTATCATTGAGGATTTATCCAAGTTCGCCACCGCTCCAGTGCCCATCACTTCTGCCCAGGAGCAGCAGTTTGAGGAGAAGCACTCCAAAGGCAACCTGGCGACCGACTGGGAGATGAAGGGTGCCATGCCCCCACCGCTCTCTGTAAGTCATATCGCGCCTCCAAGCGAGATCGAGTCCGATATTCCTAAGGAGTACGCCATGAAGAGGATTTCCCTGGACTCGCTCGTCGAGGCTCTCCGGTCGCTCGTCAACTGGTCTCAAGCTGGCCGCCCAGACGCAAATGTGCGCGCCCCAACCGAAGGAGACAGAGGGGCGTCCCTGGAGGACATCAGGGAGTCTATCGACCCATCGTCCATAAGTGACGCCTTATCAAGAGGAGACACACCGGCGCTACCGTCGACCCCGGTTATTGACGATGACCCCGAGCAACTGGAGAAAGAAAAGGCCAGAAAGACAGCCATGACGAACGCGATCAAAGTCTTCAACTTCAAGCCCAAGAAGGGCATTGCCTTGTTACTCAAGGACGGGTTCGTACCCAGCGATTCCCCCGAGGACATCGCTCGTTTCCTCCTACAGGAAGAGCGGCTGGACAAGGCCCAGATAGGAGAGTATCTTGGTGAGGGCGATGCCAAGAACATCGAAATCATGCACGCATTCGTCGACCTGATGGACTTCACCAAGCGCCGCTTTGTGGATGCTCTACGGCAGTTTCTGCAGTCGTTCCGGCTCCCCGGAGAGGCGCAAAAAATCGACCGCTTCATGCTCAAGTTCGCCAACCGCTACGTCATGGGCAACCCCAACGCTTTTGCCAACGCCGACACAGCCTACGTTCTGGCCTACTCCGTCATCCTGCTTAACACGGACTTGCACAGCAGCAAAATCGCCAGGCACATGACCAAGGAAGATTTTATCAAGAACAACAGGGGTATCAATGACAATGCCGACCTTCCAGACGAGTATCTGCTGAGCATCTACGACGAGATCGCCTCCAATGAGATCGTCCTGGACAGCGAGAGAGCCGCCGCCGCCGCCTCGGGCACGGTGCCTCCTCCGGCGACGGGCGTCGTGGCGGGTCTAGGGCAGGCCTTCTCCAATGTTGGCAGAGATCTCCAAAGGGAAGCCTACGTTCAGCAGACGGAAGAAATCTCGCTCCGGTCCGAACAACTCTTCAAGAACCTTTTCAGGACCCAGCGCAAGAACGCCGAGATGGCTGGCATGCGCTTCATCCCGGCGACTTCTTTCAAGCACGTGGGCCCCATGTTTGATGTGACATGGATGTCCCTGTTCTCAGCAGTGTCCCACCAGATGCAAAAGACGCTGAATCTGGACGTTATTAAGCTGTGCCTTGAAGGCATGAAGCTTGCCATCAAGATTGCCTGCCTGTTTGAGCTCCCAACCCCACGTGAGGCATTCATCTCGGCGGTCAAGAACACGGCCAACCTCAACAACCCCCAGGAGGTCTTGGCCAAGAATCTGGAGGCGCTCCGTGTGCTTCTCGAGCTTGGATACACCGAGGGCAACTACCTGAGACAGTCGTGGAAGGACATATTATTATGTGTTAGTCAGCTCGAGCGACTACAGCTGATGGCAGGCGGTGTCGATGCGAACTCGGTCCCTGACGTGTCCAAAGCTCGATTTGTGCCCCCCGCCAGGGAGAGCACAGTCGACCCGAGAAAGCCCAAAGCCAAGCAGCATCGACCGCGGGCCAGCGCGGCGCCCCATGGCCTTCCTGCCGACATCGCATATGAAATCGCGTCCGACGAGATGATAAAGAGCATGGACCGTATCTTCACCAACACGGCCACCCTCAACGGCGAGGCCATTGGGCATTTCGCGCGTGCCCTGACCGAAGTCAGCTGGGATGAGATCAAGGTGTCGGACAGCAACGACCAGCCGCGCATGTACAGCTTGCAAAAGATTGTCGAGATCAGTTACTACAACATGACGCGTGTCCGCTTCGAGTGGACCACCATCTGGGATGTCCTTGGCGACCACTTCAACGACGTCGGCTGCCACGTGAACGAGGCCATTGTATTCTTTGCGCTGGACTCGCTGCGCCAGCTGTCGATGCGGTTCATGGAGATCGAGGAGCTCGCTGGATTCAAATTCCAAAAGGATTTCCTCAAGCCTTTCGAGCACGTCATGTCCAACTCGCACAACATCCGCGTCAAGGACATGGTTCTCCGATGCCTGATCCAGATGATCCAAGCAAGGGGCGAAAACATCAGGTCTGGCTGGCGCACCATGTTTGGCGTCTTCACTATAGCCGCGCGTGACCCATCTGAGAGCATCGTGAACATGGCCTACGAAAACGTCACCCAGGTCTACAAGACGCGGTTCGGTGTCGTCATCTCCCAGGGAGCCTTCACCGACCTCATCGTTTGCTTGACCGAGTTCTCCAAGAACATGAAGTTCCAGAAGAAGAGCCTGCAGTCGATGGAGACGCTCAAATCTATCATCCCCCGCATGCTCAAGGCCCCCGAATGCCCTCTGTCGCACAAATCGGCGTCGTCCGCACCGGGCGCCCCCGAGCCGCCTGTCAAGCCCTCTGGCCAGCAGAGCCGGACGTCGGTGGAGGAGGCGTATTGGTTCCCCGTACTGTTCGCTTTCCACGACGTCTTGATGACTGGCGAGGACCTCGAGGTCCGCTCCAATGCCCTCAACTACTTCTTCGAAGCGCTTCTTCGCTACGGCGAAAATTTCCCGCCCGAGTTCTGGGACACACTCTGGAGACAGCAGTTGTACCCGATTTTTATGGTCTTGCGGTCCAAGCCCGAGATGTCCAACGTGCTCACGCACGAGGAGCTATCAGTTTGGCTCTCGACGACCATGATCCAAGCCCTTCGGAACATGATCACCCTCTTTACGCACTACTTCGACGCCCTCGAGTATATGCTGGACCGATTCCTAGAACTCCTCGCGCTCTGCATTTGCCAAGAAAACGACACCATTGCGAGGATCGGGAGCAACTGTCTTCAGCAACTCATTCTCCAGAATGTGTCCAAGTTCACCCCCGAGCACTGGGCCAAGATTGTTGGCGCCTTTTGCGAACTGTTCGAGCGGACGACTGCCTATCAGCTCTTTTCGGCGACTGCGATCAACTCGACCGCGTCCCTTTCCCCGCCACCCAGCGGACTGGACTTTGGTGGGCCCCTGAGCCCAGGGCTGGAATCTCCCAAGCTGGACGAGAAGTCGCTCAAGATTAACGGCTCTGATGCGTTGTCCGACTCGGAGTCTGTCTCGGCCTCGGGAGCCCAAGACGGCAGCCAAGACACTCAGCAACCACCAACGAGCGATGAATCTGGATCCAACTCGACACACACGGCAACAATTACCGCTGCAACATCAATGCCATCGCCACAGCTGGAGGACTACAAGCCGTCGAATAATTTGCAGCAGCAACCTGTGGTTGTGACGGCAGCACGCAGACGCTTCTTCAACCGCATCATCTCGCGCTGTGTTCTCCAGCTGCTGATGATCGAGACGGTGAATGAGCTCTTCAGCAACGAGACGGTTTATGCCCAGATCCCTTCGTCAGAGCTTTTGCGGCTGATGGGGCTGCTGAAAAAATCGTTCCTCTTCGCACGACGCTTCAACAACGATAAGGAGCTGCGGATGCGTCTGTGGCGGGAAGGCTTCATGAAGCAGCCGCCAAATCTGTTGAAGCAGGAGAGTGGGTCTGCTGCCACATACGTGTCCATCCTGTTCCGCATGTTCGCCGACCAGGCTCCAGAACGCCGGGACAGCAAGGCAGATGTGGAGAACGCCCTGGTCCCTCTGTGCAAGGACATCATCAAGGGCTACATCGCGCTCGAAGAAGAGAGCCAGCACCGCAACATACTGGCGTGGCGACCGGTCGTTGTCGATGTCCTGGATGGCTACGCGGCGCTGCCCGAGGCGGCGTTCCGGAACCACGCCAAAGCCTTCTACCCCCTGGCCGTCGACCTGGTCTCCAAGGAGCTCAGCGGCGATCTGAGGAACGCGTTGCTCCTCGTGCTGAGGAGGGTGGGCGAGTTCGAGCTCGGGATCGAGGGCATGGCCTCGTCGAACAGGGGCGGTGGGCACAACCGCAGGGATAGCGTCCTGACCATGTCGACCGAGGGAGGTGGCGCCAACGCGGTCGAGGTCGAGAGTGGGGATGCTAGCAACAGTTTCATGGGGCGGCAGTCTTAGTGGAAAGGCGGAGGTCGGCATAGAGTCGGCCCTTGTATTAGCGTTTTTGACCTTGTTTTGCGCTTGTCGAAAAGCATCAATGGAGGCAGCGACCATCGTTTGGGGTGGGGGTATCAAGCGAACGGCGTAGAGCTGCTGCACTTGATAGACACTGAAGAGTTTGCATTCATTCTTGGCAATCCCTTTTTTTTTTCGCTTCTTTGGGGCAGCCATTGTAAATTTCTCTTATCTTGTTTTAGAAGCCAAGACTTGAGTGGTCGTCAAGGCAAAGATTTCACCAAGTTTCAATCTATGATGTACTTGGATCGTATGGCCCTGATGGCCACCTCTAATTTGCCGTTATGCTCCGCCCCTTGCCTTGGGACAGCGCCCTCGGTGTCGGTATCGCAAGAGAAAATGGAAGCAAGTACCATCCGAGAAGACTCACCCCGCTGTTGCGTGGAGGCAAAAGAATAGTCAAGGAAACCAAGGCCGTTTTCATCTACAGCCACTCTGGCCCGCTAGAGACACAAAAGGGCAACTATTTAGGGTCATAAACATTCGTCACTCATAAGGCTTCGTAAGTCTCTTTCAGATGTTCAGCTCTGCTCTGCCCAAACTCGTCGTAGCTCATTCGACCACGACGTTTGGGGGCTGCGGTATTAGCTTGTTAATCCAGCCCTTCATCTTCTCGGCCTCATCCTCAGCCACCCGCTCCGGCAACGACTCGAGCGTCCTGGTCAGCGTCGGATCGAGCGCCGCGAGCTCCCTGAGGAGGCCCCGCAGGACCTCTTCGGTATACGGAGAGTGCTGGGCAATCCTGCCGGCGCAGACGAGAGTCTCGATATAGTCGACCAGAGAAAGGCGCATGAGGTAGTCGTCGAGGTCGACCATGCGCACAGTGACGTAGTGCAGGAAGCTGTCGGGGCTGGCGCCAGCGGCACGGGCGTTGGGGCGGGGAAGCAGGTCCGGGTGGTAACTGCGCGTAAGGGCGGAGAAGTGGATGACGGCCAGGCGCGGGATGACGCGCAGGATGCGGCCCTGGGCCAGGCTGCGCTGCTTGACGTCGCCGTCGAAGGGCGTCCCCTCGCACAGGTCGACGAGGAGCTTGAACATGTCGCGGTCCATAAATAGGCGGCGCCACAGGGAGCCGTGGCCGGGAACCCTGCGCCGCATCAGGTCCGTCCTGGGGAGGCCGGACGCGAGGGGGAGGGTCACGGGTGGGAGCTCACAGTCCGTCTCGAGGAGGTCCGTGAGCGCGTGGACGCCACGCTCACCAACTTCGACTTGCGGGGCTGAGAGCCAGCATTTCAGGAACTCGGTGACCAGAAGGGTCGAGGCTGCCAGTATGGAGACCTCGGAGGGGCTAGCGGAGGCTTTGCCGAGGATGGCCATGGCGAGCGTGTTGGCCGATGCGGCGGGTGAGCGGAGAGCCTCAACTATGTCGGCCTCGGATGTGATGGTGAAGATTTGAGTGAAGCTGGTAGCCTGGAGCAGCTTGAGGGCAAGACTGCATAGCACCAAGGGGTCAAGTTGGTACACCTTGAGAATTGAGGCCAACTTAGGAAGCAGGCGCGGCATGATGTTGGGGATGTTCGCTTCTGTTTCGGCAAAGCAAAACGAAAGTCAACGCTTCATGTCCCCTCCAGTCACGACGGCTAGGGTCATGGCAGTAGCATTTTGGCCGTATTACCAGTGAGCTGGAGCTCGACGCGGTCGAAGAGCTCGGCGTCGATTGGGGTGTCGGGCTTCTCTGTGAGATCGTCAAGGTGCTTCTCAAGCTCCTCGAGCTCGGTGACCGGAACAGCGTCCATCATGTCGCCCATGGTGTGGTGCTGCGGCACCTTCGCAGCTGGGGATGATGAGGAACAAGTGTGAAGGAGCGAGGAGGAGCGAGACCTCGTCCCCTTGAGCTGGGGATTTGGGTTCAAGGTTGGGTGTCTGCCAGGAACGGCCCGGAGCGATCTCTTGGTCACTCTTTATGCGGGGTGTTTATACCAAGTGACAGCCGCTGGATGAACGGTGTCTCCGCTCTACCTGTGCTTCTAAAGCGGGGTCCAGTTGAGCCTGAGGAAGCCGATACTTTCGGGTACCTGAAACGTTAGCTCTCATTTGCCAGAGCTCTGGCATCCCCTGGTCTCAGCTGGCCCGAGCTTGGCGCCGGACTCCACCCTGAGCCGTCGACTTCCGCCTGCCGATCCCCAAAGCTGAGGAAGCTTGAGCAAAAATGGCAGCTCCTCTAGTCGTGACTCCACCGGCGTTAGAAAGAACGAGCCAGCCAACCCCGCCGGCAATTTTTTCTCTCTGTCCAACTTGAACTCTCCCCCAAAACCCGGGTCAGCTGGTAGGCACGATGCGACAACGACAATTGCGCCCCTTCACCGGCTGATCACATCTCCATCGCAATGTCTCGAGGTGGCGGCCGTGGTGGCGGCCGCGGCGGTCGCGGCGGGGCCCGGGGCAGCCTTGCCAACGTCGCCTGGGCGAACGACCCCAACATCAAGGCCGACATGCGTCCGTCCGAGGTTTTCCCTGTACGCAAGCCCGCTGTAGCCCTCTGGTGAGATGGCAGAACCTGGTGCTGACGTCAATGGCTAGGAATACGTTGTCCCCCGCGCCGCGCCGCTCTCTGTCCCCGAAAAGGCCCAGGTCTCGTCGTACCTGCTCTTCCGCGAGCAGATCCATTCGGGCCCCTTATATACACAGATTCGCACCTGGAACGCCGAGCCCGACGGCCCGCAGCGGACGTACGGCCAGGAGCAGGTCAACCGGCGGTACGGCGTCAAGAACAAGGCCACCGTCGATCCGTTCTTCGCCATGCCCATGTACTCCAAGAGGCTCGAGCCAAAGGAGCGCCCGTTGCCCGACCTCTCCACGAGGCCATTCAGTATGAAGAACCACCTCTTTCCCTCCCTTGGTCTCCGCCACTCATATCCGGGGACGCGTTGCTGACACACTTCCCCCGTCTTATAGTGAAGAGCTTCTTCCCAGAAGAGTTGCACGCGACCCTTGATGGCGACGACACCGCGGCTAGAAGCCGGGGCAAGGGCGCCAAAAAGAAGGTCCTGACATTGTCCGACGTGCACTCGCTGCGTACCGCCGAGGACATCTTTGGTCGGAACGAGACAGCGGAGGAGCAGAAGCGACGACTGGAGGCGCTCGAGAAGGGTGAGGCCGGCGAGGACGAAAACGATATCCTCGACCCCGACGACGAGGAGATGATGGAGGAGGAAATCGACGACGAGTACGAAGACTCGGATGAGGGCGACTACAATGCCGAGGCTTACTTCGACGGCAACGACTACGACGATTACGATGAAGGGGACGACGGTGCGGAGGGCATATACTAATCAGCGGTGGGTTTTCTTCGTTTTTGTTTGGGCCGTGCCGCGAGCGCCGGCGGCGGGCGTTTGGCGTATTTGGGCCATTGGCCATATATGGTGCCAACTACTTGGCTAGATAGATAGCAGCTTGAGCGATCAGTTCCCTGATGGATTTACGGCGGGTATGCTATTAGTTTTGGAAGAAAACTACAAGGAATCGCTGGATGCCGCATGTTCAAAATCCCTCTTGTCTTCGGGCGATGAGGCAAGTATCGTAGAGCGTTTTTTTCGTTACCAATTCCTCCGGCCACCCCGCCCTCTGCCGCCAAACCCGCCCCTGCCACCACCTCCCATGTTCTGCTGCTGCTGGTCGTACCCATAACCCTGACCTTGGCCGCCACCGAATCCTGCACCACCAAAGTTCTGGTTCTGGCCGCCCTGGCCGCCGCCGCCAGCACCAGCGGCGCCGCCACCTGCGCCTCCCTGCATGGCGGCGAACATGGCTGACGGGTCCATCTGGCTCGGGTCCATGCCAGACGCCATCATCTGCTGCATCATCTGCTGCATCTCTGGAGGCATGCCGTCCATGCCGGCCATTGCGCCGCCCATTCCAGCCGCGCCGCCCTGGGCGCCTCCGGCCGCTCCTGGCATTCCGGCCATGGCCATGCCTGGCGGCATGCCTCCGAGCATCATCATGCTGTTGAACTCCTCCATCATCTTCTTGGAGTTCTGTGACATGGCCTCCTGGCTGTACTCGGCCCGCAACTGCGTCTGTTTCTGTGCGTAGACGGTCCAGCTAAACTCGTCGAAGCCGTAGTTGAAGTAGTCGCTGATGTCGGTCCCGGGTTTCCGCCACGGCGCAGCATCCTCGCCCAAGTCTGTCCAGCGAGTTCAAAGTCAGCAAATGCGCCCCTTCCATCCCATATGCTCTGCGCGTCGGGCCCATCGGGCCCTGGAGGCTGCGGCCACGAACCTTCGTCGATGCTGACTTGTGTCAATGGCTTCCCAGTGGGCTTGTGCGTGGGAACGGCGTATGCGTCGAAGTTTGATTTGGGCCTCGCTTGTTCTGCAGGCTTGGCTGACTCCTCCTTCTTCACTGGAGCGGCGGCCTTGGCTGTTGTGTCGGTGGAAGCTGTCCTTTGAGGGATGTTCCTGATCTCGCTGTATTTCGACTGTCTGCAGCGGCATCTGTTAGACCTGATCTCCATGCCATGGCCGCACCGGTCGCAAGTCGGAGTGCTAGGGAACAGGCGCACTCACGAAGGGGGAGCGGCCTTTGTTCCGTCTTTCCTCTCGGTGATGATGTCGATGTCCTGAGCGGTCGAGTTAGTTCCGGTTGGCGGCCTTGAATGCGGCTCGAAACGGGGGCGTGCGTCTTACGGAATCGTCGTCCTCGTCCTCGTCCATTGCGCCGCCCTCATCCTCTTCCTCGCCCTCCTCCAGGTCCTCATCCTCGGTTTTCAGTTCGGGCGCTTTCTCCGCAGCGGGCGCAGCGGCGGCGGGGGTTGGCGCAGGAGCGACCTCGGGCTCCTCAGGCGCGTAGAAATCGTCATCCTCGTCCATTTCAACACTCATTTTAGCTAGTCTCTTCCAGGAATATTCGCCAGTCGTATGGCAAGTAGCTTGATGGTACCGGGAATTGCGCAGATCTGGGTGGTGACGACACTGCACGCGCGAGGAAGAGAGGAAACCTGAAGGTTCGCGAGCTTCGACGGCGCAGCTTTCATTCTTTGGAGACAAGCTGAAAGTGACGGCAGGTCTTCGATTACCTTGGAGGGGGTCCCATTGCTTCCCTGCATTAACCAAACTAAACCCAACTAGGAAGGCGGTCAGTGCTCGTGCACCCTTGTCGCACCGCGAAGACCCACTACTGCGACGCGACTCAATGGCAAAAACCCAAGCAGTCGGGGGAACTGGAGCGCCTCTGGAGAGAAACCGATGCGCTTTGGCAAATGCGACTTAACACGCCCCAAACCACAATCCTCAATTCGACGTGATGGCTCTCGCTCGCTCCGCCAGTGGTCCAGGCGGCTTGAGCATCAACACGGGAGCCGCCAATACCTTGTGAGTGCCCCATTTATTGACCGAGAAGGCCCAGCCGGGTTGCTGCAGTGTGGAGGTGGCCAAAACACAGTTGAGGCACACAGGCCAGGCAAGGCAGCCAGCTCAACTGGAATCCAGTGTGGGACTCAACCCGACTAGCACAACTACTAATGCGCACTCCTCGAAAACCCAAACAAACCACAGTGGAGGCAGCACCAGCGCATCAACCCAGCCTCCAGCTGCCGGCGGTCTCTTCGGAAACTCAAACGCCCCTGCGTCTGCCGCTGCAGCCCCCTCGACCAGTCTCTTCGGAAGCCCAGCCCCGGCCGGCGCATCATCTGCAGGCGCTGCGACTGGCGGCGGCGGACTCTTCGGCGCGGCCCCGATAATCAAGACCCCCCAGGCCCAGACATCGACTGGAATGTTTGGTGCGTCTGCTGCCAGGCCAGCCGGCGGCGGGCTGTTTGGCTCAACAGCGCCCGCTGCCTCTGCCCCAGCGTCAGGCGGCCTGTTCGGCTCGACCGCGACAGCCACCCAACCACAACAACCTGCTGGTGGCGGCCTTTTCGGTGGTGCCCAAGCCTCCAACACTACGACTGGTGGTGGCCTGTTTGGTGCTGCTCAATCTTCCAACCCTACTACTACTACGACTGGCGGTGGTCTTTTTGGTGGTGCTCAACCCTCCAACACCGCTGGATCGAGCTTTTTTGGCGGACAGCAGCAGCAGCAGCAGCAGCAGCAGCAGCAGCAGCAACAGCAGCAGCAACAACAACAAGCTGCCCCGGCTCAGGCGACTGGCGGCTTGTTTGGCCAGTCCCAGGCAAAACCATCACTTTTGTACGCACGCTTCCACCTCCAGCCTCTATTGACTTGGATTCCTCACACAAAAACAGACACTAACTTCTGTCTTTCAGTGGCTCATCGCTCGCTCCCACAGCTTCCGCTCCGCAGACACAACCTAGCATGTTCGGCCGCACGATGGGGGCCACGGCTGCGCCTACTCCTGGTCTGACTATGGGTCAGTCCACGAATCAGCAACAGGTCATCCCTGGAGTGCGCATCGACATCAGCAACCTAAAATCGACCACGCGGTTCAACGACCTACAGGAGACGATACAGGAGGAGATCCAGAAACTCGACAAGGGTATCCAGGTTATCATGCAGCAGTGTCACGACGTCGAGGCGTTCATGCCGGCTCATGGCGAACAGCTCGGGGCGATACCAAACGACGTTCGCTTCGTGTCGCGCAAGTACGAGGGCGCCGAGACAGCCTTGTCATCGGATGCGCAGGCGGTCAAGGCCGTCCGCGAGCTCGTCCACCTCGACGCCGAGCAGGCCAAGCTCAGCTTCAAGGCAGTCGACAACCTCAAGCTGCCAGCACAGTACCACACAGCCGGGTTATGGTCATCCAGCAGCGCCGCGGCCGTCCGCCAGCAGCAGGAGGCGACCGGAGGCTCGGGCGGCGGTAGTGGCGACAGCAACTCGGATCTCATCGCTTTCTTTTCGCGCACCGCCGACGAGATGGACGAGCAGCTCAAGCGCTTCCAGCGCAACCTGGGCGAAATCGAGTCCCACATGCAAGCCGTCAGCTCGAACCTATTTGAGCAGCTACAGCGCACTACGGCGGCCAGGAACGCAGGGGCTAGCGGGCCGGGTGGGCCTGAGGATCAGGTGGCCGAGCTGGCGAGCGTCCTCAGCGGATTCGAGGAGAGCATTCTGACTGTTGCATCAGCGGTGGGAGGCGTGAGGGAAGGCGTAACGACACTTCAGCTCGGTGACTTTATGGGCCAAGGCCGGGACAGCATGCGTTAGGGTGTGATGTTGGAGCAAATACAGCCATGTACAAATAATAAACCAGATACCTGTCTAGCCTTTCACTTTCCAAACATCGGCCTTGGCTGCCTCGAATTGCCAGGCACAAGCAACCCTCCCATATACGTGCACGATATTAGGTACGACAAAGTAGCGAACTCTAGAGCGCAAGCTAACCATGGGAAAAATTAAGCGTAAGCTGATGATTGAGCCCCATCGGCTGATATTCTTCTGGGTGTATACGAAGCTTGGCTTCGACGTTGGGATCCGGGAAAGATGACTGGAACACCACGGAGTCACAGCAGCTACGAGCGACGTGCTCAACAGATCAACGGGATTATAGCTACAAAGGTATAAAAGCACAAACATAAGGTCGAGAAGGTCTTGAAACTAGATGGACGCAAAGCCGGGCGTCTCGCCGAATTCTCAAGAAACCACACCGGCCCCCTTGCCGATACCCTCTAGCTTTGTCTTGAGGAACCCACAGATGCTCGTAAAAATGCCCTGGTCGTGGCCCTCACGCCACCTGCACAGGACGAATCCCCCACCCAGGCCCACGACGACGGAGACCTCGAACCCAAACATGGGCAGCTCCGCTTCCTTGCCGGCGTCGGCGTCGGCGACGTCGGCGTCCGTCAGCTTGCCGGCCATCTTGCGCGCCTGCTTCCTCCTCCACAGGCGCGACCAGACGTTCTGCCTCGTGCGGCCCACGCCCCTGAGCGCGCGGCCGTCCCAGTCCCAGCTCTCGAGGTCCAGCGACCGCATGAGCCCGTCCAGGAACTCGGCCGCGGCGCCGGCGTCACCCACCGCGACGGCCGCGACCTCGGCCTCGACCTCGACCGGCAGCGGCACCTTGTTCCACTTGAGCTCCGCCACGCTGCCGCGCGCGGCCGCCTGCGACGGCCGCATGGGACCGAAGGTCCAGGCGACGGCCCAGCGCCGCGTGCGGGCGCCCTGGACGAACTCGGCGACGGCGTAGTTGCCGCCGCGCGCCGCCGCCACCCCCGCGCCGCCGCGCAGGCGGCCCACCAGGACCTCGAGGCTCGACAGCTTGCCCAGCATGGCCGTGTACCAGCGCGCGCGGCCGCGCAGCGCCAGCGACTCGTCGAGCATGCGGCCCACGAACCCGACCTCGCCGCCGTCGCAGACCATCTCGACGGGCGCGCCCGTGCAGGCCGAGGGCGGCGGGCGCGCCTTGTTGCCTGCCAGGTGTCGGAGCTCGTCGGGGGACTCGTAAAAGGGTGGGTTCGTCATGACGAAGTCGACCGCGTCCACGCCGAGCTCGTCGAGCGGGATGAGCGGGTCCGTGGGTCGGTGCCGCCGGACGAGCCGGATGCGGTGCTCTAGGCCGTTGCGCTTGACGTTCTCGGCGGCCCACGCGAGGCTCTTCTCGTCCAGGTCTGTGGGCTCTTGTCAGCATGTGTGCGGGAGAGCGAGAGATGGATGAGGCAGGGAAAGGCAGGGAGCGAGGGGATGGAAAACGGAGGAGGCAAACCTGTTGCGATAAACTCCCAGGGCCGTTGGGTACATCCGAGCAGGGGATAGATGCAGCTAGCGCCGGTGCCAATGTCTAGTCCGGACAGCCTTCCACCTGGCTTGTCATACGACGACGAGTCTAATAGCTCCTTAAGCCAGAGGATGTAGTTGTGGCGGTTGTGGACCTGTTGCAAGATATCAGCGGATCAGGCTCTCCCGAGAAATACAAGACCGTGGGAGAATCACGAAGGGTGGTCTATGGAACGCACCGGAGGGCAAAGACGGTCGGCAGGCAGTTCGATGTGCAACCCAAAATCTCGCTTGAGGGTTGACTTGGTGAGCTGCACAACCGAGACAGGATCCGTGAAGTCAAGCTGGCCGGGTTTCTTGAGTCTGTACGTGTATTTCGTTAGCGGCCGCGCGACATTCGTGGGAGAGTATCAAGTCAAGGTTCATCCCAGGACAGCGCCCTCCCAGTTCGAGATGGCGACGGGATGGAAGGATATGAGAGCGGTCGAGAGCGATGACCTACACGGCGGCAAAGGCCGAGTCCTCGACGGCCAATTGATCAAAGTTCACCTCGAATGCATAAAGGTTTTTGTAGTAGGTGTCGTCGCGCGACTGAGATTTCGGCGCGATCCGGTCGTCGCCCTTGGTCCCGCTAGGCTCCTGCGCGGCATCCTCGCTGGCAGGAGGCTGTGGACAGGCACTTGGACCGTCGTCATTTCCTTCCCACTTGCGCTTTTTGTTTTCGCGGTCCATCCTGAAGTAGATGTGATATAAAGCCTGGCTGATGTGGTCCTCGAGCTCTTGGGTGAGTTGTAGGGCTTCTCGACTCGGTTTTGGTGGGCTACCTCGCTCGCGAGATATGCCTCAGATAAAGATCTGGGCTTGATATCTTCAAGAGCCGACAGGGATAAGAGTAGAAGGGGTGTCTTTATAACTGCATCCAGATACTCGCCCGGGCTTTCATCTATGCAAGTCCGCGTCGCGATGGATGGCTGTCAGGATCGGCCCAGTGACAATCTGAGCAGGAACGGTTCTTGTCGTGATTGATGATGTGATGTGACAAAATGAATCTCGACAGCGGAATACGAGATGATACTATCGTGAAGGGTGCGTTGATTGTATAGTTCAAGTGGATGTGCGCTGTTCCTGGTGGTTGATGATTGAACGGCGTTTATATGTATTGGGAAGGTGGAGAGTTGACGCGCTGAGGACCTGGATGCTCGAATTTTTAGTGGCCCAAACACCTATCCTTGAGTCTAAGAACAGCCGCCAAACTCCAGGGTGGGGTGTCAGACGTGAACGACCGCGCTCCCTCGGTTTGCCCAGACTAACCTTACAAAACAAAACATGACGTGTTTTTGAAAAGGGCCTTTATAAGCAAGGTATCTGTATTCAGGTAAACTGGTACTTACCATTGCACATTTGCGGCATTTCGTTATACACCTCGTCTTGTTGCTTTGTATATCCTGGACACACATCCAATCGATTGTGGGAGGCACAATCCCTGCAGAGACACCCAAGCTGGCAACCAATCACCCACTCGCCGGATTCCAAAACAGGGCATGCATTGCTGATTCGTGTGGAGCAGACGTTGGGTGCAACATCAGCAGCCCACACAACCTTCCATTAGAGGTACCTTCGCCTCCGTTATCGCCAACCACCACCCCTCTGCATCGCCTGATAATCGCAAATCCTCATCCATTTTACCAGAGCTCTCCTTGCCTCCTAGGAGGAACAAGATGAACCAGCCCGGCTCGCAGGGCGTGCCTGACGCCGCGTCGCGCGACAACAACGGCGCCGGCCAAGATGGCCGGCAATTTTCCATCCTGAGCAGGGCCCAAGTCCTCACCCGCCTGCTCTCGATCCTCCTGTCCGTCAATCTGGCCATGAGCCTGTACCAGCTTCCCCTCAATCGGGTCATCGAGCGCCGTCTCTGCAATGACCACTACCTCAAGAAAGGGGCGTCCAAGCCCGGCTTCGCCCCCGTTGGTGGCGGCGACATCGCCGAGGATCTCTGCAAGGTTGACGAGGTCCAGCAGGGCCTGGCCCGCATCCAGCAGATCATGGATGTTGCCTGGATTCTAGGAGGTGAGTAGGATGAGTTGACAAGTAGGCCTCTACGAGCCATGTGCCTCAATCTAATGGAATCGGAATCCCCGCAGATATGATGATGACCATTCCCATGGGCTTTCTCGCCGAGAAGTATGGCCGGAGGGCCATCCTCCTTCTCAACCTCATCCCGCGCATGGCCATGCTCGCTTGGGCCGTCACCGTCAACTATTTCGATGACTGGCTTCCCGCATGGGCGATAGTGCTTGCTCCTTTCCTCTCTGTTCTCGGAGGCGATTGTGTTCTCAACTCTATTCTATATGCCCTGGCTTCCAACATCACCGACGAGCCTGTAGATAGGTATACACACGCGCTCTCCCCGCTGAAGACCCTCTCTTGCACTGTCTGCTAACGCCGACCGCCGTTTCACAGGGCTAAGTACTTTGGCTACATGACGTCGGTGACATACGTTGTCAACCTGGGTGGGCCCGCGCTCGCCTCCCTAACGATGGGCATCAGGCTCTGGCTGCCATTCATCATCGGGATCACGCTCCTTGGCCACGCAGTCAAGTCCATCTACCAGATCCCGGAGGAGCGGCATGCTGGCCTGCATCACCTCGCGTGCGCAGACGAGGAAGCCGGTCGCCTGCTCGACCCTGACTCTCCTCACGACAGGGAAACGATGGCCAGGGGCGGCCACGGACACCCCGCGGCATCGACCCGTACGAGCTCGGCAGTCTCGGTGCTCCGAGCGACTTTCAGCGCCATAAGCCTGCGCTTCCGGGTGCTCCGCGCCGTCCTCGGCAGCCGCCAGCGCAACCTCTCGCTCCTCCTGCTCAGCATGTTCCTCACCTCCATGGCCAGCGCCGACACGAAGCTGCTGGTGCAGTACATCTCGAAGCGGTACGGCACCACCTTCGCGACGGCCGGCTACATCCTGTCCTGCAAGGCCGTCGGCAACTTCGTCCTTCTCGCCTTTGCCGTCCCGGCCCTTCTCGAGGCCCGTCGCCGGCGCGAGCGTAGCCGGGTCCCCGAGCGCGGCCGAAGTCTAAGCCGCGACGGCAGCCCGTCCAGGGACCGGTCCCCGTCCGTCGGCCGGCAAACAAAGCAGGACGCGCTCAAGTGCCTCGGAATCTCGGCCGCGGGCGCCCTGGCCGTCGGCGTCGCGGGCGCCATCTGGGTCCTCGTCCCTTCCCTGCTCCTGTATGCCATGGGGTCCGCCCTGCCCGTCTTCACCTACTCGCTGCTCAAGTCGCCGCGGGTCTGGCCGTCCACGCCGGCGGCGCCCCCGGTCCCCCAGCCGCCCGCCAGCCCTCGGGGCCGCGATGAAGAAAATGCCGGCGACTCCGCGGTGGGCGCCGCCGGGGTCGAGAGCCACGAGACTACAGTGTTCTCCGTCGTCATGCTCGTCAAGACGGCCGGCTCGCTAGTCGGCGTCCCTATCGTCACCAGCGTCTGGATCCGCGGCATCGGTCTGGGCGGCAGCTCTCTGGGCCTGCCTTACCTGGCCAGTGCGGCCTTGTACGCCACAGCAACCGCCGTCGTTGCCGCCATGACTCTTGACGACTGAGAGAGAAGCGGATTCAAGCCGAGATCCTACTGCGAGGCGCCTATAATTGCGTGGATCACCGCCGCGGATCTGATCCGATATTAGACACGAAGCTGCTGGGTGCCAGAGGCTAAGCGTGAGTGAGCCTTTTCTTATTCTGCAAGCCACTCGCCTGTAGCGGTTGCACTCTAATCACGTTAAACATAGAAACGTGGCAATGCCGACATTCTTTAGCATTGGCGTCATCCAGGCTTGAGATCTTTCCCATCCGGCTAAACAGTAGGACCTCAATCTTCGCAGATTACGAGGGGGCCCTGACCCTAGTTCACAATCGGGATCCGCATGCGAGAGTTTGCGTATGCAATAGAACCGCGGTGTATGTATGATACTGGTTGGCTACTATAAGCTATCTTGCTGCGGCCCACCAGGACTTTTGTCATGTATAACGCAACAACGCCAAAAATAGAACCCCATTTCCGCCCATGTCTTGTGCTCAGAAATTGCCCCCCATCTGTGCATGTAAACAACGGACGCGATGCTAGGGATTCGGATTGTGGAGTATATCTGGATCGTGGCCAACCACAACTCCGTACTGCTAACCCCTCCACTCCCAGGCGCTCATGTCTGGGACCATCACCTAGAGGTTCGTCTCCCGCTCCGCGTAGCCCTCGATCTCGTCAACCAACTTATCCCAGCACTCTTCGGCGGAAGGGGTCTCGCGGGTCAACCAGCCAAGCTTGTCGTGGCAAGAGTTAGTTCTGGTACTGCACAGATAGCCTGGCCTAGGGAAGGACCGCTCGCTGGTAAGGACGCTGGGCTTGCAGTGCACATACATCTCCGAGAGTGAACCAGGCATAAACATCCAGGACAAGGTACGAATAGTCGGCGAGGATAACGGCCCAGAAGTGGTGCGCGCAGTACGGGTGCTGGATAAGGAACCGAGCAAGATCGAGGAGGATATCAAAGATGTAGATGAGAGTTACAAAGAACCTGGTTTACGGTTGAGTAAGGGAACACCCGATGTCAGCACACTGTACTTGTCAGAAACACATGCGACTACCACCACCACGGGAGCAGCAAGCTGGCGATTCCGTTCAGGCAAGAGTCGGGCCTTACGTGATCTTCGGCGCCTCAAACAGCGAGCTGACCCAGGCGTAGAGAAACAGGCAGGTGATGAGCGGGCGGAACAAGAAGTCGAGCGTGATCTTGCGCAGGGCCCGCCAGTCGTCCCAGACGCGGCCGTTGACGAAGACGGCGCGCAAGTGGGCGCGCATTGTGTTGCGCCACCAGCGCACCATCTGAGAAGCAAAACGGGCGTCGCGGTGGATGTGCGCCAGCAGGACGGCGTCGTCGTCGGCCTGGACCGCCACCTCCCAGCCGTGGTCCTGGACCCAGCGGGTGCAGAAGACGTCGTCGCCCGAGTTGAGCGGGCGCGGGGGCGCGAAGCCCAGGATGTCGAGGCCCCAGGTGTCGTTGAGAAAGGCGGCTGTGAAGCGGGTGTCGTCGCGCACAATCTCGACCCGGTACAGCGCCGTGCGACCCGTGAGCACAAAGGAGTCGCCCTCGAGCGCCTGCACCGCCGCCTGATCACCATTGTCGCCCGACAGCCGCCGCACCCCCGCCACCTCCCACGGCGTGATGACAGCTGGGTCGCGCCGGTCTGCCGGTACGTGGGGCCGCTGGCGGCCGCCCGCGGCGCCGACCTTGGGGTTCTCAAAGCAGGCGAGGATGGACTTGAGGAAACGCGGCGAGGGCCAGATGACGTCGTCGTCGGCGAAGCAGATGATGCGGCCTCGCGCCTTCTCGGCGCCCTTGGCCATCTGCTGGCGCTTGTTGGCGTCCTTGACGAAGTGGATTGTGACTCGCTTGGTCAGGTCGATCAGGTCCGTTGCCTTGACGCTACGCAAAAGCGACTGGACGCGGAAAACTTGGTCTGGCGTGGTTACGATGATGATCTCGAGAGGGTCGGCGGCGAGCCATGATTCCAGCGAGTCCACAAAGTTGTCGGACGTGTCGATGGTGGGGACCACGACGCTGACGTCGCGGCTCGGCTCGTACGTGGGATCATCGGGAACTGGTGTTGGCGCCGCAGTCTTCAGAAGCTTATAGTCGATGAGTTTCTCTACCTGGTTGCGGAGGCTGTCCCCAGATGAATCAGTCAGCTGGTGCCTGTGTTTTGCTATCCTAAGCAGCGCCGGCAACTGGACGGGCATGGCGCCCAGTGCTGGTAGCTGCCCCTCCATGGTGGGCTTCATGTCCATCTTACCAGAATCCTAGAAGGGTTGCGGCTGCCATTGCAACTCGGCTGTCTGTCTGAGATTGCGCCGGGACGGATATGGGTTCTCCTGTGGTGATCCTTGTGCGTTCCAAGGACGGGAGTGTAGTGGTCGCGACGGAGGCGGAAGGGAAGCACGAGCCGAGTCTGACGAGAAAGGCGGAAGGGCGAAGGCCGAGGTTGGGATGACTGGGATCTGACGTGAAGGGGAGTCTAAGGTGAGCAAAGTCTTCAGACCTCCTCACAGCGCCCGCGTAGGTACAAGGCCAGGGTTGCGGCTGCGGAAGCCAAGGCAGCGCGATGCGGGAAGTGATGGAAGCAAAAGCAGACGGGGTGAAGCAAGGTTTGGCGATCTTCTCTACAAAACCCGAAGAAAGGAAGGAGTGTGACGTATGATGCAGGTTTAGGAAGGGTCGTGGCTGCGTTGTTGTTGCTTTGCTCGAATTGGGAGGCGCAAGCGGCAACAAGCTGAGGCCCGCGGGGTGGTATCCACCGTCGGTCGTTCGTCCCATCTCGAGTGACGTTCTAAAAACGGAGGAGAGGAGGAAAAGAAAAGAAAAGTTGCTGGAGCGACAAGAGGAACCATCTCAAAGACTTAGTCCGCCAATCGAGAGGCGTCCCGACACGATGAGTGGGAGCAAACACCCAAGATCAGACGAGAGCGATTGTGGCGGACGCGAGGGTCGCCATGGCCGATGCTGCGAGTATTGAGCAGCATTCAACATGCCAATGCACCATGTTTGATACGTCATTACATATACTACGTACCAGGAGTGCCGTGTTTGCCGTTCCATCCGAAGGCTTGCACAACCTGACGGAAGAGATGCCCGCGTCGCGCTCACCAACCCATGAGGGCGTGTCACCACCGCCGCCTTCGTGTCACTGCTGTGAGGCCAAGCGGCGTGGGATAGCGGCACAGAAACGCCCAAGCGTCCCCCGAATCCGGCTTGCTTCCTAGAGCTGAGCAAACATGACATGTTTTTCTAGAAAACCAAAGATGGGTGTTTCCCGCGTCAGCGTTGCTTACTTTTGTGTGTAACTTGCACTTGGTTCAAGAGGAGGGGGAGCGTGCCTGGAGAAACATCCTTCTTGTGCGCGTGCCACTCCTTCATCCACTCCCTCACAATCTCCATCTCGCGCCGCTGCACCTCGACAATCTGGCGGGGCGGCAGCTCTGCCGTGGTCTCGTTCGCGAGCAGCCCGTTCTCGTCCCAGTGGTGCACAGCCTTGCCCTTGATGAGGATGAACGGCTCCGACGCCGTCGAAGTCCGCGCCGGCGCCTCGGGAGCGTGTGTGCCGGCCCACAGCCAGGGGTCCGCCTCGCCGTCGATGAGCGCCACGCGCGGGTAGCTAAAGTTGAGGCCGCCGTGCTTGTTGATAGACTCGACATCCGGGGGCTTGGTGATGTTGAAGGCGTGCTCGCAGGCGAAGCCGAGGTAGTCGATGTCCAGCAGACGAGAGACAAGCGGCAGCTGCGTTTGGGGGACGCTCGCGCCCGTCAAAAAGTACCCCCATTGAGTGCAGACCTGGTACTCCCAAGACCGCCACGTCTGTGTGATGTCGTCGTCTTTGTAGTCACCGAGGTTGCGGTTACCAAAACAGGACTCCTGGGTCTGTCCTCGACGAGCGCAGGGGGCCACCTCGGTCAGGTTGACGAAGCCAATGTAGTTCAGCATGCGGGGTGCCAACCGGTCGACTTCATCCCCATATCCTCCCTCCTCAAGAAGCCGTCGGACGGCCGGTGTCAAGCGCTCGGTTTGCGGGTATACCAGTGTATCCGAGGTTATATTGTTGCAAAACTGATAAACGTCCGGATTGCTAACGGCCAGGTCCCAGTTCAGCTCTTGCCAACCCTTAATGCCGTTGGCGAGGACGTTGACGAAATCAGGGAGGTAGGTCACATTGGGGAGACCAAAAGCGTCCCGCAGCCGGGCGCTACCAGTGAACTTGTTGCTGCCAGTAACGATGTTGTCCACGACGTGAGTCAACTTTTGTATCGTGACCACGCAGTCCGGCGGCGCGAAAAGGCGCTGGGCTTCGTAATACTGCCAGTAATCGGCAACCGCCAGGGTAACGCCCGACGACGAAATGGCTCCCCAGTAATCCTCGGGATACAGCTTCCGCAGGAAGGCCGCAAATGCGCCGGCATAGGAGCCACCGTAGGTAAAGTAAGGCGTGTTGCCAGATGTCAGGTCACGGTCCTCGAACCCTTCAAAAATGACATTGCGCGCGAAGAAAGCCGTGTCGGCAAGAGCCTGGTCGGTGGTCAAAAACCGGAGGTTCGAGATGCTAAGGTCCGGCACAGGGAAGCTTTCACCATAGTAGCGGTGCTCGAGAATAACACTCACCCCTCCCGTCGCCTCGGCGAGCTTGGCCAGGATACCCTTTTCCATAAAGGGCAGGCGATCCGCGCCGCTGGTCTCGCCGCCGAGCAGGACGATGATGGGGCCTCCATCGCGGTAGTAGGACGCGTCGAACCAGTAGCGAAGCTGGAAGAATTCGTCCGAATGTGGTGCGTATGACGACTCATTGTGGAAATGGTCTATGGGGACTGAAATGCTGCGTGCAGGATAGCGATCCTCCAGCGATGGGGGCCCAGCAGCCGCCGCTCGAGCGTCGTCCCTCGCCCACCGCTCCCGCCTGTAGTCGGAGATGCCGTGGCTCGTGCGTATGGCAGCGCAGACGTCTCCGGCTACTGAGGCGGAGAGGGCGAAGCGAGCGAGCCAGCGGGTGAGCATTGTAGCTGTGTCACTGTCGTCGCGGCGTGATGAAGTACTATCTAGACGTCAGCCAAAGGTCCGAGGCGTTGCAGCGGAGCCGGAGAATACCTCACAAACCCCACGGTGCCTCGCCGATGGCCGCGCAATTCTTGCAGACCCAACACAGAGTCGTGCGAGTCGAGACCCAAGACCGTTTGGCCGGCGAGAAATGTCTGTGTGGAAGCGCAGACCGCTGGAGGCACCTCCCTGTGGCAGCAAGGCGCACAGACCGTCTGGCATGGAGGCTTGCCGATCAAAATCAGGAGCTGTCACCACCATTCCAATTTCGGCAGCACGACGAACTGTCTAAGCCAACAGAATCATTCCAGTTTCAAGCACCATATTATCTTTCGGTCATGTTGTTTCCAAACATTATTGGGAGACTCCTAATCCTCCAAATTTATATGCACCACCAACGCCAAGATCGTATTAGTGCCTCTCTTCACGGACGCCAGGTAAAGAGATAGGATTTATCCATGCGACAACACATCATCATGTAAGAGTGTTTTGTACTTTTTGGTGTCCTTGGTAGTACTTGTCAGATTATCAACGCCTTTCCAGATCTACTTGAGATTGTGATATTACAACGAGAAATGCTCAAGTTCATATCATGGAGAAGAGAGCAGGAACAGAAATAAAGAGGGAATAAAATAGAAAACACATACAAGCCCCTCATCAAACGCACAGGCTGGGATTCTCCCTCTTAATTCACTCAACTAGATCATCTATCTAACAAGCGAAAACATCTCGTACCGTCCTTAAGGCAAAGCAAGGGCAAATACATCGATTACAACCAACTTCAGCCGCTGTTATCATATCATCGCATCAAACACAAGCAGGCACTCCCGCTACCGTAGACCAATTGTCAAGAATACAACGCTCCCAATCTCTTCTACCACTCTTAACCCCCACATTTTCCCGTAGTACGGGCATATCATCGATGCTAAAACCGCTCCACCCAGTCTAGCAGTAGCTGCGCATGGCCTCGTCGAAGCCGGAACCGCCCTTGAGGTCCTTGTCGAACGACACGTGGACGTCGAGGACCTGGCGGATATGCCTCATGGCCAGTGGCTCTCCCTTGTTGACGGCCAGAGCCTGCGCCGTGCGGACCGTATTCTTGATCTGGCGGCCGTTGAGGTCGTGGCGCGCGAGCGTCGTGTAGTCCTCCTCGGTGAAGGGCATCAGGTCCACCTTCTCCAGCACCCGCACGCGCTCGACGAAGATCTTGAAGATGGCCTTCTTGGCCTGCGGCGTCAGCTTGTCGTACCGGAGCGCGATGTGGATGCGCGACTGGAAGGCGTCGTCAAAGGTCTGCCGGCAGGGAAGATTTCAGGCTTGTCAGCGGGATTTGCGGCTTCAAGAGGCAAAATAGAGACACCAAACGGTTGAACAGACCTGAACGCGGTTGGTAGTAAGAAACAGTATTCCCTGGAAGTACTCGAGTTGGCGCAGGAAGATGCTGACGAGGGCGTTGCGGTGGACGTCAAAGACGCTGCGCTTCTCGAGAAACACGTCGGCCTCGTCCAGGAGCAGGATGGCGCCCCAGGCGTGGCAGATGTCCAGGATCTTCTGGAGCTCCACCTCGAGGAAGCGCGAGTCGGTCCCCAGCTCGCCGGCCGAGGCCATGTACAGGGGGCACTTGAGCAGTTCACTGATACCCTCGGCCGTGAGCGTCTTGCCGGTCCCCGGCGGGCCATGCAGCACGGCGACGAGGCCCTTGCCCTTGCCGACAATGACGTCGTCGATGCTCTCGGCGGCGTGGTACTTGTGGGATTCAACGAGCGCCTGCGGAGGAATGGGCCGGTTAGCGGGGCGGGGAGGCATACAAACAATGGGCGGCGTCTCGGCGCAAAACAATGCCTTCTTACCTTGACAATGTCCTTTGTCTTGGGCTCAAGAACAAGCGATTCGTACGCCGCCTCGTTCCACTGGATATCCTTGATGCCCGAAACTGTGAACTCGAGCCAGAGCTTCTCGGCGAAAGAGAAGCCGAGGACGACGGGGGAGGCAGTGAGGTACTCCTCGTCACTGAACTCGGGCACTGTCTTTTCCGCCTTTTCCTTGGTCTTGTCGTCGCCATCCTGCTCCGCGGAATCGTCCTCCCCCTCCTTGGCACCATCGTCCAGCTGGTCCAGCTTCTCCTCGCCCTGGTCATCCGAGCTCTTGGGGACCTGGACGATCCTAATCTTTCCCTTGGCGTCCGCCACGAGCTTGGTGACGAGCTTCATCTTTTCGCCGTTCTCGCCCGACCCGTCGTTACCCTCGCCGTCCGAGCCGGACCCGGCGCAGCCGCAGCCGCCGTCCGTGTCGTTGCCGTCGTTGTTGTCGTCGTCGTCGTCCCCCTCGCCGTCCGACAGGGTGTCGTGGTCCTTGGGGCGGACGTGCGAGATGGGGTAGTTCGGGTTGATGCGCCGGTGTGTGCTGGGATCGACCATGACGCGTCCATTGATGTTGACCTTGATGATGGACTTCCTCTTCTTGTAATAAGCCATTCCTTGGTGTGCCCTGTAGTGCACACCAGCCAGCGCCACGAACTTCTTGCCACGTTCTATAAGGTCCTTGCGGAGCTGGTCCTCGTTCTTGTGGTACGCGAGGGGGTATACCCCGAGGCTCGTGATCTTCCTGGCGCCCCTGAACTCAGACACCTCGCCAACTTGGGTGCCGAAGCCAAACTGCTTGCCATCATACTCGAAGTACTGGTATGGGGATGTATGTGTTAGCCATGATGAAAATTCGACTCTGAAAGCAGAGCTGAGTGGTCAGAGCAAAGTCGCTACTTCATCACCTACCTTGCCATCGATGAAGTAGTAGTTGCCCTTCATGAAGTTACTGTGCTTCTCGGCCATCTCCACCTTGAAGACCCTCGGCTCGTCGTGCGAACCGTACATGGTCGTGTACGCGAGGGTGCCGGGCTTCCATAGGGCCCAGATGAGATCGAACGTAATCAGGCCGTTCTCAAGCATGGGGTAAAGACTGGGAGACGGGATTAGTGTCTCGTTTGTGCGGGTTCATATGCTGCAGGAGGAAGGTGAAACAGAGTGCACTCAGAACGAACTAACCTGCTCTTGACAGTTTGGTAATCCTTGTTGATGTACCTGATCAGGACCTTGAGATGCTCCCTCTTCTCATCGAGCCGCTTCATTGCCTTCTTACGGCTATGCTTGTCAGATCCAGTGGCCTTGCTCTTCTTGAGAACTCTGTAGTGGTTGATCAAGTCTCCGAGATAGCTGTCGGAACGGGTGTTAGCAAAACCAGATACTGTACTGGGATAGGTTATTTTGGTAGCTAGAATAAAGGACAAGGAACAGAAACAGGTTACATGGACGGGATCATACAGGAACAGCATGTTTGGGTCCAGCTTGGGAGTATCCTCAACCAGGCTGACACCCTTGATGTTTCCCATCACATCTTGGAGGCACTCGCGCAGAAGCTTGCTTTTGATGTCGACGAGCGTCTGCTTGAACTTGCCCTCCCAGTCAAACGAACGACGGACGTGGAAGATGTACTCGTCGTACTGAGAGTCGGTCGACGTCTCAGTCGTATCCTGGAGCTTGTAGGCGTGGATGTTATTGTCCCAGACCTGGTCGACGCGCTTGAAGTCCAGACGGGCAGGCTTGCGCTTAGCGTCCTGCTGCGGCGGCTGGCCTGGGCGCTGCGCTCCTGGTGGGAGCCTGGGATCGATGATGATGGACGACGAACCCAGCGGCTGACGGCTGGGCGGGGGGAAGAAGCGGCCGGGTCGGATGGAATCGAAGGCGGGCAGAGGCGGCGGGCTCAGGTCGTCCTGTTCCATGTAGTCATTGCGACGCAGGTTCGTCGGCAGCCCCCCGAGCGATCCGCCACGGCCATTTAGGCCGATGCCGTAGCTGGGGCCTCGGTCCATTGCCTGGAGTGTGGTGAGCTGCTGGACCTGGCGCTTCAGGCGCGTGATCTCGAGCCGCTGCTGCTGCGCAATGAGACTCTCCCTAGTGTCGCCAAGCTCCAGGTCCGAGGCGGCCGAGTCGGATGCATACTTGGAGTCCAGGACGAAGTCCTTTTTGCCGCGCTTGCTTTTGATTGCTGCGAGGTTGTATCGCTTCTTGGCCGAGCGCTTCTTCTTCTTGTCGGCCTCGGAATCAGAGTCGGAGTCGGAGTCATCCGAGTCGGACGACGAGGACGAGCTCAAATCGTCGTCTGAGGAGGACGAGTCTGAGGAGGAGCTGGCCGGAACCGACTGCTTCTTTCCCTTCTTTGGGGATGCCCTCCTGGACTTCTTGCTCCGTTTGGTCTGGGTCGCTTTCTTATGTGTGCCCTTGCTGCCAGACGAAGGCTTGGAGTCGCTGTCGGGCGTCTTGACGCCCGACGATGCTTCCTGTGCGGGAGCCTTGGCATCGTCACCATTGCCGGCCTTGGGAATGGCTCCCTTCCGAGCCTCGACAGACAGGGGCTCCTGGGAATCCATCTTTTGGTTTGCAGATGCCCTTGCGGGTATGTGAAGGTATAAAGATGGGGCAATAAAAGTCTTGTCTGCGAAAACGTTCTTTTTTTCGCGAAGATTGGGCCTGGCTGGGGATATTGAAGGAAGGTGCGAGAGCGGAAGGTGGGGGCGAGTGGTTTAACTTGAAGGAGGCGGCAAGGAAAAAAGGAAAAGCGCTGCGGCAGCAAACCAGGACGGCCGACACTGTTGGCCCGACGGCTGTGTCCGGCGTGTTCCACCTATGGCGGAGAGGATTGGCTGTGACTGAGCTCAGACGCGTAAGACAGGCAGGCTGCGGTGCACCGGGCCTCGGTATATAAGACCTGGTGGTGTGGATAGGTTATTGTCTGGGAAAGATATTAGAATTGCGTTGTGGTAATGCCGAAGGAAAAGGAGGTACGAAAAGAAAAAATGCCAAACGAAATAGGCGGCAATTGAGTGTGTACTAGGGTAAGGGCGTTCGTTTGTAAATTCTTTCTTTTTCCTTCCCGCTTGTTCCTTTTTTTTATGCTTTTGGTCGAGCGAATAACACACCAGTGTGGGGATGGTCAAACATGTTTGAATAAAAAAAAAGCATATAAAAGCACTTTAAAATTAAAATCCAGGACAACCACGAGCTCGGTACCAATAGGCGCACGCTGAGCAAAAAGAATACCAAAAAGAAGAAAGTTCAGGCAACCAATTAGGGGGAGGCTAACTTGGCCGACGGTTGGAGACGTTGCACCACCCAGCGGAGAGTGGGTGATGGTTACACCGTCCGGTGAGGGAAATAGAAGCCGAGGACGGCAACTTCTTTTCTGGGGCGGCAATCGGTGCAAGCCAGTCGATGAGATATGTTAAACCAACTGGTTCGCGTTGCGGTGAGCTTCTGTTTGTATCTCCCCAACAGTTTGTCCGCCTTGGTGCGCCAGGTTGTGTTCAATATGGGATATATGATACCCAGCACAGTGGGACTTCGACGACGGGAGACTGGCGGGTAGCTCGGCCGGCTGGCTGCCTCTAGGCAGGGTGGCCCAAATCGATGCAGGCTGGATGCGAGGTGAGCTGGTCCCCAGCCTGACCAAGGAGTCATCACTGCAGCTCTGCGAGCACGTCTATAGAATGTTACCATCTAGGACTATATGTTTCCATGGATGTGTGGGGGAGAACAGATGAGCCAGGCAGCCGGTCGCGTGTGATGCAAGTCCTCCTCGAAATCTTGCCTGGTATCCTAGCTCGAAAAAAAAGAAAAAAAAAGATAAAAAGTGCCCTATCAGGGTGCGCGTATGTGTCAACGGGCCGCACGCACATGCGCCTGCTGCCTGTGGCTCTTGGCACTTGATGGCGGGGGTCAAGTGTTGGGCGTGTTGATACGGCAGCAATAAGCACATGGATACCATATTTTTGCTAGGTTTACCGGGCTGAGTAGGAAACCCTTAGCACTGCCACTATCGGGGTAGCCAGGTGTGCAAAGCAAATCGCAATGCGTGCGTCGTCTGCGAGGCATGGCTTGAGATGGTACCTCATGGTGCAGCCTGCGCCCCCGGGCTACCATGCAAGGCAACCTACATATAGCGCTAATGCCCGGTTGCAGCCTAATCTAGACACTCCGTCTTACTCGTCAGCAGAGGATCTAGACGCCCAATCCCATCAATTTTCACTTCCCATTTTTTCTCTCTCCTTGGATAAGAATATTGTGCCCCACAGCTTACCTACCTACCTAGATAGAGGTAGGTACCTATCCATCAGCTTTCTCTCCTTTGGGTTCGTCAAGGCCGTCCATCACGTGTGGACTCTAGAAAAGCTGCGACATGGCGGTCTGGAGTGTCCCGCGATGCAGGTAGCCCGCCATCGCCTAGACCCTGTCATCCCCAACCGCCCGGTGAGTTCCGACCAGGGACAACACCGGCAAGCAAGGTTCACCTCACGCAAGAACAGCCCCAACACAAGCCATCAATCCATGGATTCCCCTCCGGCCGCACAACGCGCCAGGCCCTCCACCCATGAACCCGGTTGCGGCTTGGATTCCGCGGTGCTTCCCCAGTCGTTTGTTGGCCCAGGCGCTTGTCCACCTCTCTCCCCAATGTGTAACAAAGAAGGAAGGCCTGCGCTACCATATCCAACCGACGCTGACCCCTCCCCTGTCACTCACCCACACAGCCCACCGAGCTCGCCAGACCCAGAGCAACCCTGAAACGCCCCGCTCGCCTCCTGCGGCACCCTCCATGGCCCAAAGACCTGCAGTATGCAAAGCCGGTGGTGCGCCCACCACCACAGCCCTCAGCCGTTGGGGCTGCAGACGGCATCTGCCACTTCGATTGGTCGAGGACTCCTCGTGGCTGCCGTCGCAATTTTGATAATCACAAGACCCCTTTCGGGCCGCAGGCTTGCTCGCCTCGCGCTCGCGACCGAAGCACAGCGCCCGCTCCGTCGCATCCCATGCAACCGGCCGTTCTTCCCAAGGATCGGTGATGCCCTGGGCCCGACTCCGGTTGTGAGATATTCGTAGAAAGGGGACGAGCAGTGACATTATGGTCGCGCAGCATTCAGCACCCGGCCAGGCCCGACCTCAAGAAGCCGAGAGTGTAAGGTTAAAAAAACGCGTGGCAATGCTCCCAAAATGGTCTTGTGATGTTTTAGTCACCGTGTACTACTTGAGTTTACATTTCAGCTGCCATAGCTCGCCCATGAACGCCCCAAAAAGCTGAGTGACATTTCCCGTGAACCGCCATTCATTGCACCCAACCTACCTTCTCCCAGCCTATCGAATTCTCGCTGACACTCTGGCCGTCCCATAATCATTCAGGGGCCTGCGTCACAGCACCTGACTCCCACCCTTCGCCCTCTTGCACCCCGTCACCCCTTTTCGCGTGCCCGTCATTGTCTCCCTTGGAAGTGCCGAGGGCCTTGCCCAGGTCGAGCAGCATCCGCTTCAGCTCGTCGACCTCGGCCCGCAGCTTCCGGGCCTCGAGCACGGCCGGTTCCTCCTCGACGTTGGCCTTGACGGCCTCGACCGTCTTGTTCCAGCCGTCGCCCTCAAAGTCGAGCTCGGCCGCCATCTGCTCCCACTCCTCGACCACGTCGTCGTCCTCCTCGCCGCGCAGCCGGTTGGCGCGGATCTCGCGCGCCGTCCGCGTCTCCGACACGGCCGCGATCAGGAGCAGGGGCGAGTAGATAATGCCCATGACGATGTCGTTGAGCCGCTCGTACCTCCTCTTCTCCATCCACCACTCGAACGGCAGCGCGACGACGAAGATCTCGATCAGGTTGAAGGGCGCGATGTAGACGTTCTCGTCGGGCGCCCGCACGAACTGCATCGTCTTTTGCGAGAAGAGGGCCAGGAACTCGTCGTCGGCGTTGTCGTAGATGTCCTCGTACGCCGAGTTGTAGAGCGCAATGAGAACATTGAGCAGGATGACCTTGCAAGGAACGAGTGTCAGTACAAAGACAGAGATCTGGAAAACGACCATGCGAACTGGGTCACCAGTGCGCGACTTACCATGACTATAAAGGTGAAGAAGTAGTAAAGGATGATGCCGAATGGATGTCCAAACTTTTCGAATCCGGTAAAGTCCGGGCTTTGCATGACCGAGTTGAGCATGGCCTGGCAGATGAACTTGATGTCGCCGAGAACGTAGTCTTCAGCATAGTCCAGCCCGATAAAGGCTTGAAGAAAGCCGATAATGATGATTATCAGCAGGGCGAAGAAGATGATGGACTCCTTCATCATGACCTTGAGCACAACAAGCATGGCGCCAAAAAATCGAAAGGTATCGAGGTAGAGCAGCAGACGGATCCAGAAGAAGGGCGCGCTGCAAGCCAAGAAGTTGTAGCTCATTTCGTTGAACCTTTGGCGGTCGTCCCAGCTGCCGTCCGGGGCCTGCGGCTTACTGAAGGCAATGAAGCGCAAGGCCAGGCTGACGATGAGGAGGGAGTATAAGGTGCCGTTGAGGGCGTTCCAGAAGCCAAGGATGTGGTAGCCGGCCTTCCAGAACTTTGTCAGCTCGTCGAAGATGAAGCCAAGCGTGAACGTGTAGAGCAGGCCCTCCACGATGTCCAGGTCGCCGTCCCGGTTGATGGTGTTTATGGCCCCCGTGTACAGGCCAAGGTAGACGAGGGATATGATGAGCTGGAAGGCATTCTGGTATTTCGGCGTGCGCATTCTGTCTGGATCCAGGTGGACGAGAAAGTCGATGTTGTCCTTGTCGCCGTAGTCGACAAAGTTGGAAGGATCGTTCTCGTCCTGGATCAGCCACCCCCTCCAGAGGTAGCTGATGCATTTCTGGTAGCCTGAGGAGCCAATGACGCGCAAGGCGTGCAGGTCGACCGCTCTCTCGATCACGTTGGTGGGGGGCATCTCCTCCCCGTCGATTACGATTGAGTACCGCCTCAAAAGCACATGGTGCAACAGGTAGTTGGTGTCATCCTCCTCCTCGATGCTGAACTCAGAGACGTTAGAGTCGATGTGAGCAGATCCCTGGGGTTGCCGCAGTGCTTACATTTGCTTGGCAATGACTTCGCAAGCGATAGAGCGGATGCCGTGGAGACTGGCATCCCAGAGCTCGACTATAGACTGGTGCTTGAACCACCGCTTGCACACCAGCAGGCAGAAGACGACGCACGCCCGATTCTCGCGGCCGCCCGACTCCTTGGCGGCCTTGATGACCTTTCTCGTGATGACGGAGCTATGGGGCTTGGTGATCTGGCTTTCCTCGAGCTCGCAAGGGACGCACTCCTTGACCAGGTGGTGGAGGCGGAGAGCTATCTTGGTCACCTCTTTCGGGGCGATGGTGACCTGCACTTCCGCCTCATGGTAGCGAGGCAAGACTAATGGCAGCGATCGGGGAGAGCCAAGCTGTCAGCAACTGATTGACGAGACCCAAGGGAAAGGGGAATATAGTAGATGAAATTAAGAGAGGTCGTCACTTACGCCGCCGACGTTCGTGCCACCAGTCGTGGTGGTCGCGTCGCGGATGGTGATCCCATCCCATAAACTGCCGCCAGGTCCTGGAGCGTGCGGGCATCTTGGCGAGCGATTCTACTCTGTAGATTTATGCCGCCAATTATCACGCTTGGTTTTCGTGTGCCTGTCGGGTTATGAGAATGCGCCAGGCTCGCTCGGCGGCGGGCGAGGTTCACGACAGTGTCTCTGTTCAGGTTGCAAGAGGAAGCGTGCGAGGTTTATGCGGGCGGAGCTTGGACTCGTGCTTGGGGATGCGAAGTTTCAAACCAAGAAAACAAGCATTGAGCTCGCTCAGATGACGTCGCTTGGACAGCGGGGACGGGCAGGGAACAACAAACAGTTAGTTCCCAGCCACCCAAGCTCGGGGAAGCTCTACGGTTCGGGTGAAAAGCTGGCGGGGAATGGCTTGGCGTCTCGTCCAACCGAATCCATCCCTGCAGCCAGCCCAGAATCCTACCCTCCCTAGTCCCATCCTAAACAAGCACAGGCTCTTTGATGCGTTTGGGCGAGTTCAGATCACGCTCTTTTTGTTTATCATCATGACTTTTATCCTCATCCGTGTCCACGTACAAAACACCCCGCCGTCCTGCCCGCCCTCCTACACCACACTCTTGGATTCCACCGTCTGCTCACACTCAACCCGATCGCCCTTCTTCGCAGCCTGAGCGACGCCCTGCTCCCCCGCCACCTCGCGCGCGTCCTCGTCGTGCTCGACATCGAAGCTGCGCCGCAGGTGCTCGGGCCCCAGGAACGTCAAGACGATAACGTACACGTACACGCACCCCATGAAGATGCAAATCACCTTGCCGTACTCGTGCCGGATCTCGCCGCCGCCGCCGCCAGTCTTGGCCGGCAGCGGGAACCTCTCGCCGATGGTGGACTCGATGGTGGACGAGGCCGACGAGACCAGGTTGCCGAGCTGGTACGACGTGCCGACCACGAAGGTGCGGAACGCGCCCGGCGACAGCTCCATGAGGTGGATGGGGATCACGCCCCAGGCCCCCTGGACGCAGAACTGCTCAAAGAAGGCGGCCGCCGCCAGCGAGCGCGTCGACACGTACGTGTAAGGGTACAGGAGCGCCCCGCCCACGACGCAGCAGACGAGGATGGAGAGCCGCCGCCCGACGATCTGGGAGCAGTATCCGACCACGGTGCCGCCCAGCATGGCGCCCAGGTTCGCGACGATCTGCGTGACGGTCACGTCGTCGGCCGAGAAGCCGAACTGGGACGTGAGCATGGTCGGGTACAGGTCCTGGCTGCCGTGCGACATGAAGTTGAAGCCCGCCATGAGCAGGACCAGGTAGCCGAGCAGCGCCCAGTGCCGGCGCAGCGCCACCTTTGCCTCGCGGAAAAAGGTCCGCGACGCCGACGACCCCGCCGCCGCGGCCGCGCGCCGCAGCTCCTTCTGCTCCCCGTAGGCCCGCGTCTCGGGCAGCGCGAGGCGGAACGCGATGATGAGCACCGGCGGGCACGCGCCGAACCAGAACAGCGGCCGCCAGCCGTGCGGCGTCGTGTCGACCAGCGCCCGCGCGAAGGCCGTCGCCAGGAGGTAACCGAACGCGTACTGTGTGGAAGGCGGGCGCCGGCTGTTGTTAGCTGCTCGAGTTTGAGCCGAGTGGTGCAGAATGGCCATGCTGGCGGGTGCTTGCCACTTACTCCTTGCTGCAGGATGCCGCTCATCAGGCCTCTCGCCTCCTCTGGCAGGTCTTCAAGAGCCGTCGCGGCGGCGTTTCCGTACAGGCCGCCCATGGCGACGCCAAACAAGGCGCGGCAGGCAAGGAATTCGCCATACGTGTTGCAAAACCCCGTGCCCTGTACACCATCTCTGTCGTCAATCGTGGTTCCTGTCTCGCGAAAACCCGCCTGTGTGGGCTGCAGGGTTGCATGCCAAGTCGGCCAGTCCCGATCGTGGGGCGGATTGCCAAGACAAAAACGATCAGCCCCCCATCGGGTATAACTCACAAGCTCCAGCAGGATGAACAGGATGTTGTTGACTATAAAGGGCCATTTGCGGCCATAGCGGTCGGCTGCTATGCCGAACAGGATGGACCCCACGCTCCGGAACATCAGCACCAGGGTGATGCCCCATGTGATGTCCGTGTTGGTCCTCCCAAAGGACTTGGCTAGCTGGGGGACGGTGAGCGAGACGGTGAAGAAGTCGAACGCGTCCCATGTCTGGTTCGGGAGGGCGGGATGGTGAGCACTTGGACCTCGAATCGTTGCTTTTTCTGCCATGCTTTGTCTCATGCAGTCCTCGCAGCCGACACGCAAACCAAACAAATACTCACCCACGCGACAAAGGCCACCAAAAAGAACGCCCAGCAGTGGCGGTCGAGCATGAGCAAAAGCCTGATTGGATTCGGAGCCTTGGTCATTGGTGGCTTCAGGCTCGAGACGCGGGTGGCGAGATACCGGCCGGTCGACATGCCGCGCCACGGCGGGGAGTCGTACGCCGGCTCGACCTGGCCGCCCCCATCGTCACGGTGCTCGGCCGCAGGCTTCTCGGTACTGGCGCTGGCCATGGCGTGAGTGGAGCTCAAGCTTTCTTTTTTGGCTTTGTTTTTCTCTCTCTCTCTTTGCAGCAAACCCCTATCTTGTCGCCGGCTGCTTGTTGTATGTATAGGCGGTATTGACTGCCGGGCGCAGGGAATGAAGGGCTCAGAACCGAGAGGAGACCATACACAGCAGTAGAAATATTTGAAGATTCGGTTGGGGGAGCGGGGGGTTGTAACACCCTGCCCGTTCGTGGCTGCTCATATGCCCCGAAACCGGCGTCATGGGATAAACGATCTGCCCTCCATCCGCCGCCGAACCCTCCCCCAACAGGAACGGCAGCCCCCGGTCCCTTCATAACTATTGGAAGCCGCGCAATGCGACCCCCCTCTCCTTCTCAACCGTACCATGCATATTTTGCTGGCCTAGCGGAGGCCTGGTCCACGCGGTGTGGGCCATTACGGTTTGTACCCGCCAATCCCTGGGGCCACGGGGTTCTTCGCGCGCGCGCGGGCAACACACATTTTGGCTCACCATAGGATAGAAGGGTTCGATCCGGCAAGCGTCGAGCACACGTAGCATGCACGAGAATCCATATCGTACGAGATTCAAACAGATTGAGACGTTGCTTTATAAAAGGCGATAACCTGATAAACATATCAAATTCCTCAACGAAGCGCGACAGAAGCACTGTCGGTGTGCCTGATAGGTCTTTGGTTGGGTCCAGACAAAGGTCCCCGAAAAAAAGGGCGCAAGCTGCCATCTGACATCACTGTGCATAGAAGACCGAGTAAGCTCATGACGAGACAAGCTTTTCTGCTTCCCCGCAGATCTACACACTAGCGCGCGCGGCCCAAAGAACGAGAAAAAGCGGACCCCAGGAGAGTCGGAGCATCGCATCTCGGGCGCCGACAGATAAAGTGTTCGTCGTCCGGCCCCTGTAGCGTTCGGGTATCTCGGCCGGCTCGCGCGAGGTTATCTCGCCGGGGCGCATATTGCATGTACCTGCGATATATGGTGGTGATGACAGAGCTCGTTAGTTAGAGAGGCGAATGGGGAGTGTGCCGTGCCGGTGGGGAGTGTGCCGTGCCGGTGGCTGAGGATCGCGCAAAACGGCCGACCAGCCGCGCTTGTTGCTCTTCGTCCAGAGGAGGTCGGCTAGCGGGCTAGTCCAACCGCCATCGTCACGAGCTTGCGGTGTGACGATGGCCCCCGCACCTAGAATAACACACAAACAAACAACTGATACTAGGATTGCCAAGCCATGCTGTGATGAGCAAGGGGACTACCTAGGTAAGTACTATATGGCATCAAAACATCATCCCCGTAAAACGTGAACAGAGCAGTAGCAAGTATTTGTTCGAAGCGCGTACGTTGCCAAATATCTTACAGTACAAACAGCCAAGAATCACCAGAGTCCCTAAAGAATCCGCCCAGTTTTTTTTTTAAGAAACCCCGTCTTTTGCCGGTCCTGAATTACTTACGCAGTCGCCGCAAATGCCTGGGAAAGCAAATTCGGGCCAATTACGCAACGGAGAGGTCTCCAACGCCAGGTAAGACTTGCTTCCGGTCAGGTGACGCCCTCGTGCCAACAGACAAGCCAAGGTGAATCGATGGCGGCGCGGAGACACAAGTGAGAAGACGAGATAGGGACAAGAAAAGAAGGGGCCAGGTTGGCGGGGGAAAACGTCAAGTAGGTGGGCTACTAGCCTCGTTTGAAACAAAGGAAAAGATGACGGAACCCCGGGATGTTTGGGGAAAGGGAGGGCAAAAGTACAACCCGGATGAGGTTTCCCTGTGTATACAGGCGAAAGGCCCATTCGAGCAATGAATGGTGGGCAAAGTGAGGCAAAACAAAAAACCATGGACGCCATTCTCCCTGCAAGCAATAAAAAAGGGAAAACAAAGAGAGCAAAGACATGACGCTCCGACCACTGCCCCGAAACCAAACACACCCCCAAAACGATCAAAAGCCACCCTGGATATCGGTACAAGAGATCTCCAACAGAAAACGAGAATGCGAGCTCAGGATATTAGTATAGACAATGTCCAATTGTCGAGACACCCCTTCTCGGCATAGGCGAGGTGGGCAGAGTATGAACAGCACGGGCCCATTAATAAGGAGGGCTGGGACTCAAAGAGCCAGCTCGCTGGGAGCTTTGAAGACTCTTCAAGAGCCATCTAGAAGGACGCAAGGCGAAGGGGCATCACTCACACCCCACCACCCATGAAGGCAGCCAGGTCATCGAGCTCGAGGAGCTGGCGCTCGAAAGCGGCACACAGCTCGGACGCATCGATCTCGACAACCGGCGGCTCACGATCTTTGCGGCAGGAGTCAGCAGCGTCCGCCACCGACGCCGACGAACCAGGACCGGGACTATCGATCTTCATGCTGGTCGACGGGGGTTGGGGGCTGCCAGTGGCCGGGGTGGAGGCTCCAGCGGATCCTCCGTTGATGGTGGCAATGCCGGGCCGCCTCGTCGCGGGAGGCTCGCTGTCTCGGCCGCCCTCCACAGTGGGGTGAGGGGTCTGAGAGACCGAGGGGTCGGCCTGGTCGTAGTCCATAACGTCGGCAGTGCCGTTGTCGGGCTGGGACGAGACATCGTCTTCCTTGATGGACGGCGACCGGCGTGATTTGTTGCCGTCGGGAGACTCTTGGCCATCAATGCGGTCGTTGTATTCCTTGAGAACCTTGGCCATGACTCCCAGGTGCCTATGCCAGGGCATTGCCAGCGGCCAGTACTCGGCTCCGCCCTTGAGGAAGCGGAACACATCGGACACAATGGTGGTGCTCGTCATCCGGACGTCCATGGGAGTCAGACCCTTGAGCTGGAGGTAGGCGACAGCAGCGCCCGAGGTGAAGGAGGCAAAGAGCATGAAGATGGGGAAGCAGATGATGGAGTCCTTTTCGGCGCCGTTCTCGAGGGCCGTCAGCATGGCCACAATGCTGTGGGCGGCACCCAGTATCTGATCGGCCAGCTGGCCGTTGCTGGAGGCACGCCACGTCTCTATGTTGAAGCCATCCGTGTTGACATGCTGCAGGATGCGGCGGCGGTTAAGGAAGATGTCGGCGCAGAGCAACAGGCAGTGGATCATGGCATACGTGTAGCCGCTGCCCATGGTGATGTGCAGGTTGATCTGGCCCGGCTTGTCGGCGAAGTGGATGGGCAGCGACTGACGGATGGCCTCGATCTCGGCCTCGAGAGCCTGGCACCGGTCCTCGGTGAAGGTGGCAAGGGTGGTGGTGGTCATCAGCTCGATGACATTGCGCCACGCCTTGGTCGCAAGGACCAAGTGGCCGAACTCGCCGACCTCGGCGGGCGGGCTGCTCTCCGGGGCGGTGCTCGGGAGGGTGTTGTTCAGGGTGCGGACGTAGACGGGGCTGCCGAAGTTGTAGTTGACATCCAGGCAGGGTAAGGCCAGGTCGCTGACGTCGTGGGACGACAGGGCGGGGTGACGGCCTGGGCTAGCGGTCAGGAAGCAATCGAGAATGTAGATCAGCCACATGGTGCGGCGGAACGACTCGGACTTGAGGAACTGGTCGGGCTCGGCCTGCTCGTGGGCGTGTACGATGCGGTACATCTGGGCCATGCGGGCAGCCTGGCCAAGGTAGATGTACGCACGGACGGCGTTGCGGCTGCCCCACTCGTGGATAACCAGCAGGCAAAGCGACTGGATGTCGGCCAGGCTGGGGTGGTCCAAGCCCTGCATGATGAAGTTGATGGACTTGAGAGCGAAGTGCTCGGCAGCCGTGGTGGCGTTGGCATTGTGGCCGCCGAAGCGGCGGATGAGAGCAGGCGAGTGGCTGGCGGAACATGTCTTGTCAGCACCAGTGACCATCGCAACTGTGGGAGAGGGCGGGCGAGTGGCTTACCGCGAGGCCATGGTGAGCAGCGCATTGACCATGGTCATGTCCATGGTGTTGCCCTTGAGCTGCTGGATAAAGCTGGGCTTGTGAAAGGCGACGCATGCTGGGATGGTCTTGCTAACGACGCGCTCACACTCGGCGAGGAGCTCCGGGGTGAGCCTAGGGGGGGGAGCCGGTTAGCGATGGGCGTCGGGACGGTCTTGGTAAGCGAGGCAGCAGGGCAGCCAGCCAGCCAATAGGGTGTTGCGCAGGCCACGGCGCGGCGGGCACGGGAGGTCCGAGAGAAAAGGGGTGGGTTTTTATGGGGCTTTGGGCCGTGCACCAGCGAGGCCCGTCGGAAGCCACGGCGTGGCGAAATCGGGCGGCCCAGCAGCGCGAAGTGGAAAATGGGCTGAGGGCCATGTTTGATTGCCGGCGCCACCACAGTCACCACTTTCGCCAAGCCACGGCCCAGCGAGCACGCTGGCGCTGCTTCCGGGGCGAACAAAGCGAAATAGCAGTCTTTGCAGAGCTAGCCACTGGGCTCTGGGCCTCAGGCCGCACGCCCCCACAAAAAAACTGCTCCGCGCCGCCCGGGCGGAGCGAGCTGAGGTGAGGAAGCCTGCTGCTGCTGCTGCTGCTGCTGCTGCTGCTGCTGCTGCTGCTGCTGCTGCTGCTGCTGCTGCTGCTGCTGCTGCTGCTGCCTGCCCTACCAAAAACGTCCGTACGCCCGTT